AACACCGTGTTGCTTGGGTGTCCCATTCGTGCGTGCCAGATGTCTTCGCTGGCGCGATGTCCGGGTGTACGACGATACAGGTCGGAGTTGGAGTAAAAGGCGGCGGTGAAGTTGGCGCTTCTGTGAATTTCGCGAGGAGTGGGAGTTAGTTGCTGCGCGGGAGTCGGTGAGGTATTGTCAATGTGCGGCGATGTTGTTGAAGAAATTGCAACTGGTGTTGTAAGTGTTGTTGCTGCTGCTGCCGTTGTTGTTTCTGCTGCTGTCGATGTTGTTTCTGCTGCTGCCGATGTTGTTTCTGCTGCAACCGAGTGTTGAATCGTTGCTAATGCTCGTGTTCGTTCTGCTTCAGGGATGGTGTGGGAGTACCAGAAGCCTTCTGGACTCAAGTCAGGATCAAGATCCGGTGGATGTGTCCAAGAAGTAAAGTTGACAATCCCGTCGCTGTCGGCAGTGCCGAGATCTGGGACGAAGTCGAGGACGAAGACGTTATTCTTCAATACTGCTTTGCCGATGTAGAGTCCACCCTTGCCGTGGTATAACTTAAATTCCTGAGTGGTGCTGTCTGCCTCGAGATGTATGCCCTTCGCCATCAGCTGACTGACGCTCAGCAGGTTGTAACCGAGTCCTTCTGCTATCAAAACCTTTGACATCTGCAGTATGACGTTTGTTTCTCGTGACTGAAGTTGCACTACGCCTTGTCGTCGTGTGCGCAGGTTCTGATTGTTGGCGACGGTGATGATGACTTCTCGTTGAAGTTGGTGTTCACGTTGAACAAATCGTCCTGAAGAGCACATATGCTGACCACAGCAGCTGTCCAAGAACCACGTATCCTTCCCGGATGGCTCGCTTTGAGCGATGGCTGCATACGTTGGATTTGGTTGAAGTGACTCGCGGCGAGGCGTGCTGTTGTCGAGTCGTTCTTCCGGTGAGTAATGTGGTGGAGACTCGGTGATGCAGGAATCGGTCAGCCGTGTCATACAACTAACGATGTTTCTTGTTTCTTGCGCAGGTTGTCCCGTCGATGTTGTTGAGACTTGTACTTGAGATGTCGGATTTGCTTGAGTTGAGGCAACTTGACTGCTTGAAGGCCGAAGTTGTCACTGCGTTGGTACTGACTGTTGTCGGTTAGGGCAGTGTGAGCGAGGATGCCCTGACATCTTGCAAAGGTGACAGAACGGAGGTACTGATTTCGGTTGATGCCGATTGTTGCTGTTGTAGCGTCGTTGAGTGTGGAATGCAAATTCGGGCACTGATGCCTTCTTCTTGTGTCGTTCCTCTTGCAGGTCCATATCTTGCTGCTCAGCGTGGATTTCGGCGCAGAGTGCTGCTTCTGATATCTTTCCATGCGCTCGGAGTATGGCGCGGGTGGAGCGCCACTGAGGACCGAGGCCGCCGATGATGACTGTGACGAAGGCGTCTTCTGAAATCGACCCTCCGCATCGAAGGAGTTTGTCGCGCAATTCGCGACAACGGCTGATATACGCCATCCCTTTTTCGCCTGGTTTCATTTCGACTGTCGTCAGTTGCGCCATTAACCGACTTTGATTTACGCTGTCTGTTGCTTGATACAGGTTCTTCAGGTGGTTGTACGCGAGTTCTGCAGAGTTGCCGTATCCTCGGTAAGATCGTATGTTCTGCTGCTGACTTGGAGTGATATTTCTCAGCAGTATTGTGTACGCCATCATTGACTGATACGTGTATTGCTGCTTGTCGTTCTGTGTGCCGTGTGTTGGATATGGCAGGGACCCGTCGAAGAAGCCAAGAATCTGCGCGCCTTCCATCATTAACTCGAACTCGAATGACCAGGTAAAGAAATCCTTTCCGTCGAAAGGCCTTGTCGTCTGCAGTTTTAAGACGTGCGCGAACTGCGACTGAACTTGAAGTGCATCCAATGTCTTTTCTTGTCCGGATGCAGGCTGCGGGTGTGGCATAAAGCTGACGGAGCCACGCTGGGGCTCATATGGGGCAAAGGTAGGCCGTTGCTGTTGGTTTCCTCGTGCGTAGGATGAACCATCTAGGCTCATCGGTGTTGCGTTGTTGTTGCTGTTGTTTGACTGTGCAGGTGCCCCTTGCTGGTGCTGTTCGTAGAAGGACATGAAGGAGAAGAACTTCTCCATCATGTCTGGATCGAAGGCCGCAGCTTGATTTGCGGGAGTTTCCGAAGACGATGCCCTTGGTCTTGTTGCCGTACCCTCCTCTGTCTGTAGGCCAGAGGCAGGAGGTGGAGTAGGAGTAGTGCCAGGAGAGCCGTTGGAGGAGCTTCTCTCCTTCTGCGTTGCCATGTCTTGCGATGTTGTAGATGTCTTGTTTGTAGTTGAATTTGCCCTGACTGCTCTCATACCATGTTGGGCTGAGAAAGCCCTTTAGGATCTTTGCAGGGCAGAACTCAAGGGTAGGATGATGTAATAGCGGATTATGAACCACCTTGCGCTTGTATGTGAGGGCAAAGTAAGTTGATTAAACAAAAGAGATACAAGCTTTTATAAGAATACAAAGGAATATGAAGAGATACAGTTGATAACTGTTTTACTGTTGCTGTTGCGGTTCGATACAGTGTCGACTCGGGCAACTGCTCAGTATCGAGACAGTTGTTTGTCCTTGCTGTCGCGCTGCATTTTTCAGGTCAAAGGTCGCTGACCTTTGACTTTCGCGTAACCTCCAACAGTTATTCAACCTCCGAGGGTTGACTCACCGATGTTTCGATACGATCTGCTTCGCTTCTGTCTTGGTGTTTCGACACGACAGAGGCGCTTAAATCAGTTGTTTCCAACAACAAGTACTAACCCTAATTGGGTTGTACCCCTTATGGGCTACCCCACTATAGCCTACACAATGTAAGCACTATATAAGTTTGACAAGGTGATACCATGTAAAAAACGAAATGGATGATGTAGTACTGTGAGTTGGCGTACATATACCTAACCCTAACAACTGTACCCCTCACGACATGCCTCACTACATGCTACAACATTTGACAATAACATAGCGCGTGATATGATGAAATCCGTTAACCGATAACGGACGAAGAACGGTTAAGCCTGCAAAATCTGTTGTACCATGCAATGAAGTTGGGTGCACCGTAAGAAATTTGAAAATATGCTTACAACAGGTCACATAATTTTGAACTAATTGTAAGGAATTGCATTTTCTTACTGCACTTTAGCGGGTGCCGTTTCCGAGGGCCACGCGCCATATGTTCGGCCTAAATTCCGCTCCAAACCACTTCCGAATCCCCCCCGCACCCTCTGCCATCCTTCCTAGCCATCTTCGCCCAGTGTCCCCACCTCCCTATTTAATCCCATCAATTTCATTGTATTGTTTGTCTTTTTAATCACTGTCTTGTACTTCGAGCACTCTTTAGTTCATTCATCCATCAGCTCTTATCAGATAGTGCCAAAAGAATGCAGTTCTCATGTTGATCCCATCACCAATGCACGTCCACCCACTGGCGCACTTTCTCGCCAACCACCGCGTGAATCAAACCACTCCCCTCTACCGTCTGTTAGTGCCTGTTCCCCTCGGCTTCACGAAACGTTGACGGCTCGCGATGATCGCAGTCCGTCCAGTTTACCTTCTAGCGTCAGCTTTCAGGAATATCAGCTTGCAGCAATATTCAAACGCGGCAGTGGAAACACTGTGCTATACTATTCATGAATATTCAAATCCAAACAAACGACATATCCAAGTTTATTCCCACTTTGGTCAAATATCCGCAGTTTCCAAAGATTGAACGGAACAAGCAACGGGCAGCAGTGAGAAGCAAAAACATATTATTGCAGCTTGTTTATTTTTCCCCCGACTTCCGCGACTTCCACGCTGGGCGGCATCACTTGCAGTTCTTCTGCCTCTTCGTTCATTCCTTCCCTTTCCTCTTCCCACCTCCCCCTCCCAACTCCCAGTTTTCCACCTCCCTAGTTTTCGTCTCGAATACTACTGTGTTTAGCTGTTCGTAACGTTTCTTCACCAGTAATTCTAGGGTTCCGTTGATTGAGGCATAATTACTTGACTGTAACTTTATCTCGCCGGTTCAGGGGGAATGTTCACAGGCTGTCAGTGTATTCTAGTATCTATCGTAAATAAACGCTGGCACCATATATGTTCGCGCGCAGTCCCGTGTGCGACTCGTCCTTGGTTCTTGCAATGATAACAAGAACCGACTTTTTGTGAAAACGTACCGATTTTCATATGTATTTTCTTCCGTCAATTTGTTGTCGCGAGCACATGTTGAGGAGCGCAGCGATGTCTTTTGGGCGTATCACGAGTCTGACGATTAACGGAGCGCCATGGTTTGGATGGAGCTTTCGCCTGGCTTGGACTTTCCCGTTCTAAGGTAGTCGACTTAGGTATGAGCTTATGCGAATAGCTTCTGCATTGCCAGCTTGCGCGAGAATAACGCCGTAATTAGCGTCTGAATTCTGAATTGTGAGCGTCGTGTTTGGAAGTGAGTATCTCGTGTCGTGGTTGGGATTGAAACACTTACAATCCAAGAACGTGATTGCCAACGTCTCACCACGTTCCCGTCTTGAAGCCTCCGTGCTGTATTCGGTCACAACTCATTGCACCCAGTTGCACCGCGTCGTACCACCCCAAGAGCCAGTTCAGCACTCTCTACCACGCTGTTCGAACCTTTATGATTCCGGCCGTCTCACTCGCTTGTAACCGCTTTCGTTTTTTCTTTAGAAGCGCCAATGCCGTTGGGTCATCCGCCGTTTTAGTGCTCTTACTTTCTTCCCCCTTCCCTCCTCCACCCCTTACCCCGCTCCTCCTCCCCCCTTTTCCCCCTCCCCACTCCCCGTCTTCCCCTTCCGCCTCCCCTCCCCCGTTCCTCCCCCCTTGCACACAGCTTCCGTTCACGCCTTTCACACTTATCTTCCGCACGTTATATTTGCCCCTTTCTTCCATAATCCAACCTTTCCACTCCCGCCGATTACCCAATTTCCTTCCCACGCGCAACCTTCCCCCCCGCATGCGCTCCCCAGTGCGTCTTCCGCCTACCCAGCATGAGCCGCCATTATACCGCCACCCGCACTTCGAGCGGGGGAGCCGTCCGCGAGCGCTCCTCTCCGCCACTGCGCCCCTCCGCCTCCCCCCCTTCCGCGTACGCGCTAGACTTCAAGCTCCCCCCCGCAGCAGGGGAGAATGGCGCAGTGTGGGATGGCGGAAGCAGTGGCGGAGGGGCAAGAAGCGCGCCGAGCAGGAGAGGGGTTCTGTCAGGAATGGGCGAGCCTCCCCCTCCGCCCGTTGGCTCTTTCTCCTCCCCCTCCCCCGCCCGCCATCCCCGCTCCACTAACCTGCACCCCCCCAAAGGCGCCAACTCCGCAAGTCAGCGCATGCCCCGTTCCGCCTCCGACGCCCAATCCCCCACCCGCCGCGCTTCCGCCGCGGGTGGCGGCGCTAGGAAAGGGGCGGAGTCCCCTGGATCTTCCTTGGGAAGAGAGGAGGAGTTAGCGGTTCTAATGGCTGTAGACTCCCCCTCCGGTGCGTCTGACTCGACTCTCCCGTTGTCTGCTGCGCGGACGCATAGTGCGGGAGTAATGGCGGCAGGAGGGAGAGCGCCCGGGGCTTATTTACGCAGTAGCTCGTTCGCGCTGATTGCGGGAGGCGCGGAGCGAGTCGCGGCGGAGAGAATAGCGGAGAGAAGAGCAGCAGCAGCAGCCGCAGCAGCCGCCGCAGAATCGAGCTATGGTGGTGGTGGTGTTGGTAAGGGTGGTGGGACAGGGGGTGTACATGCTACGTTTTCGCGCTCCAGAAGTAGAGGAGGGGGAGGGAGTAGTGGGGGCGGAGGGGACTCATATAATGAAGAGAGCGAAGGGGGTGGGAGTGATTTCGGAGGCGGAGGGAGGAGAGGAAACCAACAACAACAGCAGCAGCAGCAGCTGGGGCTGGCGATTATAGGCAGAAGCAGCAGCGCCGGGAGGAGCAATTACATCCCTAGACTGTCCCGTGGAGAGGGAGAAGGAGGAGGGGAGGGAGGAGGGGGATCGGACGACCAGTTACATCGGCCATCCAGAACCTTCCGGCCCCACTCCCTCCTATCCCACTCAGATGTTTCAGACGCTTCTCTAGCTCACTCCGACTCCAATCTCTCCCGCTCCGGCCCGCGCACGGGCTCAGGCTCCGTCCCCGTTATAAGGTCCGGTAGCTTCTCCCGCCGCCCCCCCTCCGGTGCGTCCACCTCTTCCGCAGGCTCGTATGGGTCGTTTGGGTCGGCGGGAGAGGGATTGGGCGAGGAGAGGAGGCAACGGAGGAGGTCGTTTGAGGAGGGAGGGGGGAGAGGAGGAGTGGGCGGGGTGGGAGGGGTGGTAGGGGGAGGACGGGCGGAGGAAGTGAGGGTGGTGGCGGGAGCAGCAGGAGCGGAGGGTCGGAGTAGCGAAAGCAGGGGCGCGTTCAGGAGAGGAGAGCCGTTGGATCAAGCTGTGCCTGATATCGCCTCGAGCAGGAACGGGTACGGGCATGGGCGCGGGAGAGGGAGAGGGGGAGGGGGAGGGAATGGGCGGGGAGGGAGAGGCGGGGACTCGGATGGAAGAAACCACTTGCATGATCAGCGTTCGTTCCTGTATGGACGAGAAGGGGAGGAGGAGGAAGAAGGGGAAGAAGAGGAAGCGGAAGAGGGCGAGGAAGAGGACGAGGAGGAAGAGGAGGAAGAGGAGGAAGAGGAGGAGGAAGAGGAGGAGGAAGAGGAGGAGGAAGAGGAGGAGGAAGAGGAGGAGGAAGAGGAGGAGAGGGGGAAGAGCCGAGAGGAGGGAAACGGTGGCGATTTCCTTTCCAGACACAGCAGCACGGGGAGTAGAAACCTGCCCATCCCCACTCCTCCAACACACCCCTCCCCTCCGCCCCACGCAAACCCTAGAGCTCCCCCGAATCGACCTCTCACCCCGGAACCCCCTCCTAGACGCGCCATGAGGCCTGATGCTCCTGAATCCGGATCGTATTCCCCTGATTCGGGAGCCTATGGCAGGGGCGAGAGAGGGGCGGTAGGGCGAGTAGGTGGGGAGAGCAAGAGAGGTAGCTGGAGGCTTGCTGCGTTGAGAAGACCGGGTGTAGGGGGTTATAGTGGAGGTGGTGGTGTGGAGAGAGGTGGTGGTGGTGGTGGTGGGGAGATGGATAGGGAGAGCGCTGGGAGTGTGCAGAGCGATCGGGAGAGGGAGGAGGAGAGCTGGGAGGAGGGGGGGAAGAGGAGGGGTTACGGAGGAGAGGATAAAGGGGTGGATGGGGTGGTGGTGAGTCACTGGAAGGGCGACAGAGGGAGTCAGTCTATGAGAGAGAGTGGGGTTCTGGTAGGGGTGGGAGTGGGGATGGGAGTGGGGATGGGAGTGGGGATGGGAGTGGGGATGGGAGTGGGGATGGGCGTGGGGAAGGGTGCGGGGGCAGGGAATGGAAAGTTTGGCGGTCGATCTGTCTCAGATGGAGATCAACGGACAGGGTTAGAGAGAGGGCAAGGGAGCAGATTGAGTAGAGGAGGGAGGGGGGCTGGAGAGAGGGAAGATAGTGGGTTATCACACGCTCGGTCACCTGCCGCTGCTGGTGTTTCGACCGATCTTCATTCTAATGATGCTGCTGCTGCTGGTCATGTGATCAGACGAACAGGGTCCGGGGCAAGAAGCGTGCTCACTGCCGCAGCAGCAGCTGCTGCTGCGGCTGCTGTTCCTGAGGTAGTGAGCTCTAGTCTGGCGCAGGGAGGGTTAGGAGGGAGGGAGCGGTTAGGGTCACGAGGGAAGGAGATGCTAGGCTCAGGGCGTATCGAACGGTTAGGTTCAGGGGGAAGGGATTTGCTAGGGTCAGGGCGGGTTAGGATTGGTCCCGGTGATGCTTTGGTGATAGAGGAAGAGGAGGATAAGAGTGAGAGGCGAGAGCGGCGGGAGAGGGAGAAGAGGGATGGAGGAGAGGAGAGAGGGACGGGGGAGAGGCGAGAGAAGAAGGATGCACGCGGCGGGGAGAAGGGAGAGAGGGGAGAGAGGGGAGAGAGGAGAGAGAAAGGGAGGGGAGATGGGGTTGGGTGGAAAGAGGATGGGGGAGGGGAAGGGGGAAAGGCAGAGAGGGATGGTGGTGAGGAGAGGAGGGTGCATAGGACGCTTACAAGATATGAGGGGCATGAGAGGAATTTGGCGTCATGTGGGCGAACGTTCACTAAGTATGGAGGGGGGAAAGAGGAGAGAGAGGGGATGGGTGCAGCGGATGGGGTAGATAGAAGGGCAAGAAGGACTCTTACGACGTATGGGGGAAGTTTGGTGAAGAGTGGGAGTGAGAAGGAGAGAGCGAGGAGTGGGAGTGAGAAAGAGAGAGCGAGGAGTGGGAGTGAGAAAGAGAGAAGTAAAGATGGAGGTAGTGGGAGAGAGAGGAAGAGTGGGAAGGAGGGAAGAAGTGAGATGGAGGGAGGGAGTGGGAAGGAGCGAGGGAGCGGGAAGGAAAGGAGTGGCTCCTTAGGAAGACGCAGCAGTGGAAAGGATGAGATGGTGGTGGCAGAAGGAACGGAGATCGGAGAGACGAGTTTTGGTACGTCTCTAAGATTGTCTTTAGGGAGACGCAGCAGTGTAAAGGATGGGATGGTGGTGGTAGAGGGAGCGGAGATTGGAGAAGGAGAGAGGGAGAGGTCGAAGGAGAGGGAGAAGGAAAGAGAGAAGGAGAGAGAGGGGGGGAGGGAGAGCAAGGAGAGGGAGCGGGAGCGGGAGCGGGAGAGGAGAAAGGAGAGAGAAGGGAGAGGTGAGCGGTCAGGAGAAAAGAGAGTGAGCCGGCAATCAAGCACTACTAGTGGAGCTGAGGTTAGCGATGGGGTGCTTAGAGATAAGGAGAGGAGTGGAGAGAGGGAGAAGAGGGAGAGGGACAAGGAGAGGGAAAAGGAGAAGGAGAAGGAGAGGGAGAAACGGAAAGAGAAGGACAGGGAGAGACGAAAAGAGAGGGAGAGGGAGAAGGAGAGGGAACGGGATAAAGGACTACCAAGAGAGGGATCGAGGGGATCCAGAGAAGGAAAGAGGGAGGGGAAAGGGGAGGGGGAAGGGGAAGGGTCGAAGCGTAGAAGTATGGAGAAGCACAAGAGTGCGGATCCTGAGAGAGAGGAGAGGAAGCGAGAGAGGAATGGGCTGGGTCGAGTTGATGAGGGGTGTGAAGCAGGGCTAGATCACACGTGGCCTAGGAAAGGGAGGAGTGGGGAGGGAGGGAGAGGGGTTGACGAGGGTGGTAAATTGGCGGATGGAGGGGGATGGGGCTTGGGTATTGCAGAAGAGATGGCTGCAGCTGTATTGCTGGTTGACCGGGGAGAAGGGGAGGAATTGGCGAGGGTGGAGGGGAGGGAGGGAGACGAAAAGGGGAGTGAAGTGGAAGATAGGGTGGAGAGAGAGGGACATAAGAGGCGAGAGAGGAGTAAGGAGAAGGATAGAGACAAAGAGGAGAAGGAAAAGGAGAAGGAGAAAGAGAAAGAGAAGGAAGGTAGAGACAAGGACCGGCACAGGCACAAGCACAGGCACAGGGAAAAGGGTAAGGATGGAGAGAGAGAAGAGGAGAAGGGCAGAGGGAAGGATAGTGTGAAGGATGGAGAGGAGGAGCATAGGAAGAGGCATGGAGATCGAGAAAGAGAGAGTGGGAAAGACAGGGAGAAGGGGAAGGATCGGGAGAGGGAGAAGGAGAAGGAGAGTTTGAGGGATGGGGAGGGGGAGAAGGAGGAGAAGCAACGGAGTAAGGAGAAGGAGAGAGAGAGGAGGAAGGAAGGTGAGAGGAGCAGGCACAGGGACAAGGAGAAGGGAAGGGAGAGGGAGGAGAGGCACCGGAGCCATAAGGATAGAGCAAGGGGGAGTGAGAGAGGGAGTCAGAGGGGGAGTGGGAGAGGAGAAGAGGGTAGGACGGGGGAGGAGGGTTCGGCAGGTTTAGGATCAGGTGAGATTTCAGGTGAATTTTCAGGTGTGCAGATTGAGAGAGAGGAAAGTATTGCGAACAGTGCTGCTGGGCCGGCAACGCCTGGTAAGGATAAGCAGGAGCGAGAGGAAAGGAAGGAGAAAGAGTGGTCTAGGCATGCTCATGGTCATAGAGAGAGGGATACGGAGCGGGAGAAAGGAGACAGGTCGAGCCGGCATAGGCACAGAGATAAGGACAAGGATAAGGATAGGGATAGGGATAAGGATAGGGATAAGGAGAAGGATAGGAAGCAAGAGAAGGATGGAGACAGGGAGAAGGAAAGGGGGCGGGAGGAGAGGGAAAAGGAGAAGGGTCGGAGCAGTGGGAAAGAGAGAATCAGGGATACGATTGAGGAACTTGGGGATGGTGGTGATAGGGACAAAAGCATGGAAGAGAAGGACGCAGATATGCAGTTGAAGGAAAGAGAGAGAGGAGGCGAACGAGACAAGGAGAAGGAGAGGAGGAAGGAGAGAACGAGGGAGAAGGAGAAGGAGAAGGAGAAGGAGGAGAAGGAGAAGGAAGGGAGGGGTGTGCTGGAGAGAGATCAGAGCACTAGTAGCTCGAGAGGTAGACACAGGGACAAGGGCAAGGAGAAGGAGATGAGCAAGGATCGGGAGAAAGACAAGGAGAGGAAGAAGGAGAAGGAAAGGGAGAGGGGCGGAGAGAAGGAGAAGGAGAAGGAGAAGGAGAAGGAGAAGGAGAAAAACAAGGAAAAGGGATCGAAGGTGAGGGAGAGGCAGGGCAGTGGGAGGAGCATTGACAGTGGTATCAGCAGGAGTGAGTCTGGGGAACATTCGAAGGTCTCTCGCTCTTCGAGCCGCAGCAAGAGTGGTGGTGGTGGCAGGGAGAGAGAGTCGAGACAGAGTAGTCTGGGCCGGGAGGAGAGAGGCGTGGTGAAGGAGGCAGCGGAATTGCAGGAGCAGGGGCAGGAACAGCAGCAGGGGGAGCAGCAGGAGCAGCAGCAGCAGGAGGAGGAGGAACAGGAGAAGGAGCAGCAGCAGCAGGAGCAGCAGCAACAGGAGTTTGAGCAGCAGCTGGAGGTAAGTGCAGTTGTTGCGGCGGGTGCCTCATTGTCAGAGGGGGCGCCACCTGTGCTCGCTCCAACGTCAAGCCAGGCTATCCAGGAAGGACTTCGGGACACAGTCACAGCATCAGCAGCAGTAGATGCAGCTGTAGGAGCAGCAGCAGGCGCAGCAGTAACAGGAGCAGTGGTAACAGGAGCAGCAGCAGCAGCAGGTGCAGGTGCAGCCGTATCATCACGACCAGTTTCACCTGCAGCAGCAGCAGGAGCAGCAGCAGCAGCAGGAGGAGGAGGAGGGGTAGGAGTAGCGCCGGTGGAGAGACCTAAGAGCCCTGGTCCCCGGGTGAGTCTGGAGCGCAGGGAGAGGAGGCGCGAGCGCAGCCGCTCCTGGATAGACGAGCTCCTGCCTGACTCCGTCACGTTTGAGGAAACTGGCTTGGCCGGGCCGGGCGGGATAGGTTCGGAGGGAGGTGTGGGACAGGGAGGAGTGGGAGCAGGTGGGGTGGACCCGTGTGGATTGGACTTGCTTGCAGCTGCTGCTGCTTCCGGGACGGAGTTTGCGTTTCTGGTGGAGGGGACTGGTGAGGGTGGTGGGTGTGTAGGGAGCGGTGGTGGGAGCGATGGGGCTGGGGTGAGAGATGGTGGCGATGGGGAAGCAGCGGCGGATGCAGCGGGAGGATTAGGAGGAGCAGGGGCAGCAGCGGAATCGAAAAAGGAGGTGCTAGATGTGAGGCAGCTTTCAAGGAAGATATCTGGTGGGCTTGGTGGGCTGCTGGCACGGGGGGCATCAGGGGAAGCGAGTGGCAGGAGCCGGCATGTGCGGCAAGGCAGCAACGGGCTTCTCTCACCACCCTCGTTTGCTCTTTCTGATGCCACCGCTGGATCCTCTTCTGCTTCTGCCGCCGCCTCTGCAGCTTCTGCCTCTGCCGCTGCCTCTTCTGCGATCTACGCTGCTCCCTCTGCTGCTGTGTCTGCTGCGTCCCTGCCTCCCTCCCACCCTGGTTTGATCTCCTCCGCGCAATTGCTCCCTCCTCCCCTGCCGCGTCCGTCATCCTCAGCTAGTCACAGGCGCCTGGGATCGATTGGAGAGAGGGATGGAGAGGGAGAGGATGGAGGCGAGGGAAGGGATGAAGAGAGCGGGGAGGGAAGGCTGGGAAGGGCACGAGAGGGTATGGATAGTAGCATTAGGCTTCCCCGCAGCAGCAGTCGTGGCGGCAGCGGCGGTGGCAGCAGCGGCAGCAACGGTGGTTTGAGTGTGCGTAGAAATGCAGTTGCTGTTTCGGGGGCTGATGTTGGCGGTGCGCCGGGGTTGCTGGGGCCTCGCTGGTTTGGCGTTGGCAGCAGCAGCAGTAGCAGCAGCAGTGGCGGCAGCGGCAGCAGCAGCACTGTTAACGGCATCAGCAGCAACAGTGGCAGCAGCGGCAGTGGCAGCAACAGCGGCAGTGGCAGCGGCAGCGGCAGCGGCAGCGGTGCTGTTGGTGGTGTTGCTGCTGTGTCGCCCAGTACACAACCATCAAACCAAACTATCGCACAAACCTCCCATCTTGCAGACCCGTTGAATGGAAACAAGAATCAATATTTGGCCCCTACGGTCACTGTTACCACTGCTTCCCCAGCTCATTCTCCTATCCCTCCTGCTGCTGCGGCTCCTCCCAGTACCACTCTCAGCCCCACTGCACCCGACCGCACCCTCCATCCATCCCCCCCACCTGTCCGTTCCTCCTCGCCCTTCTTCCCCTCCTCTCGCTCCCTATCCTCCCGTGCCGTTCACCCCCATCCCCATCCTCATCCCCATCCCAACTCGCATCCCCATCCCCATCCCCGGCCGGGTTACTCTCACCCCCATCCTCCTGTTTCTCACATGCGGGCCTCGTCTGTAGGATATGCACCTGATTCGGGGTATGCTCCCGAGGTGTCTCCTTGGGCTGGTGAGTATGGGAGGAGGAGCCAACGGGAGCAGAGTGGCGGGGAGATTCGTGGCGGGAGGTATGCAGGCAGAGAGAGGTTTGCGAGTGAGAGATTCGCAGAGGGATTTGCAGAGGAGGGATTCGCAGAGGAGAGTGGAGAGCGAGGGTATGTGAGGGAGAGGGGCTATAAGGAAGCGGGTGGGTTGAGACGAGGGGATGGGGAGAGATTTAGGGAGAGAGGCGGAATGGGAGGATGGGAAGGACGTGGAAATGGGTGCGATGGGAGTGAAGATGAGCGGGCTGATGAGAGAGAGATTAGAGGAGATGGGGCGAGAGGAGGCTTGAGGGGTGGTGGGTTGAACGAGCGGCGGCGGAGGAATATGGGGATGAGGGGGTTCGGAGGGAGGGGACGGATAGGGGGGAGTGAGAGATGGGAGGGCGAGGGAGAGGGGAGAGTGGGAATGAGAATGGGGAAGAGGGGAGGAGGGAGGGGGGAAGGAGGGAAGGGGGCATGGGGTGGTGGTGCTGAGTCGGGATTTGAGCTGGTGAGACGTGAGGGGCTTAGAGGTATGTCCATGAAGCGATATGCAGTAGCAGAGGCGGAATGGGCGCATGGTGTACGCGGAGATGAGGGAGAGGCTGCGGTGGAGGACGATGAGGTGGAGGACGATGAGGTGGAGGAGGTTTTGGAGGAGGGGGAGGAGTATGTTGGTATGGATGCGTACGGGGTAGGAGAGGGGGAGGTGATGGGGAGATATGGGACAGAGAGCCAGGTTTTTACTGTGTGTCGTGGTGATGATGCTGATGATGAGGGTGATGGGAGTGGTGATATTGATGGTGAGTTAGGGGTGTTAGAGGAGCGAGAGGAGGAGGGAGCAGCGGAGGGAAGGGGGGGATCGGTGAGGTATAGGGAAGGAGAGGAGGAATATGGAATAGAGGTGTTTGGAACAGAAGGGTTGGGATCGGAGGAGTATGGAGAGGCGAGTGAGTTTGGGTCCTCACTGGATGAAGAACTAGAGGAGGAGATCGAAGAGGAGTTGGAGGAACTGAGGGGACGCAGGGCTGAAGCGCAAAGGATACTGGAAGAGGGGGAAGAGGGTGGGGTGATTGGGCGAAGGGCGGAGGGGGAGGGGGAGGAGAGAGGGGCGGGTGTAAGGGGAGGGGTAGGGGAGGAGGGCAGAGAGGTGGGCAGAGGGGAAGGTGGGGATGGGGAGGAGGATGAGGAGGAGGGGGATGAGGATGAGGAGGAGGAGGAGTATGAGGAGGAGGAGGATGATGAGGAGGAAGAGAGCGATTCTCTTCCAGACGAGATGATGTTTGTTCGTTCCCTCTCCACACTCCGCCGCCCGGAGATCGGGCAGACGTGCAGCTCTGTGCGCGCTAGCAGGTATGCTTATAGGGAGTTTGGCGTTATCGCCAAGGCTCGTGCAGAGGCGCAGGAAGGGAGGAGCCACTGGTCGTGGCTGTTTGCTAAGTATATGGACGAAGTTGTGCGGTTGTCGGTGGGTAGCAGTGCAGAGAAGGCTGAGGTTAGGAGGAGGAGAGAGAAGATGCTCAGGAGGAGGTTGGCGGGGGGAGGGAGCGAGGGGTGGGAGGGAAGCGAGGAGGATGGGGAGGAGGAGGACGAGGGAGATGACCCAAGGGCTCTGATGTTTGGAGGAGTGGGGGGGAACAGCAGAAGAGGCGGAGCAGGAGGAGAAGAGGGTGGGAAGGGAGGGGGAGATGGAACAGGAGGAGCGGGAACAGGAGATTCAGAGCAGATCAGCTCTCTTGACTTGTCTGACTGGCTGGATAGTGCTGTGCCCGTGGCTAGAATGGCCCACAGGAAATCCGCCCGAGACTGGTCGGTTGCTGCCGCGTTACGGGAGTTTGAAGGAGTGAAACGGAAGTTCCACAGCACGGCTTCTGAAGCGGAAAAGCTAGCCAGGGGGCAGGCGGAGAGGGTTCTTCCTACGGGCCTGGCTGTGTGGCTGAGGTACTGGCAGCAGTGGGGGGAGGATCGACCCGATTGGGCTGCGGAGATTGAAGGGATGAGAGTGGAGGAGGAGAGGTTGGGGATAGAGGAGGCAGTGGAGGAGGGGGATGAGGAGGAAGAGGAGGATGAGGAGGAGGATATGGAGGAGGGAGAGGGAGAGGGGGGGGGAGAGTTTGGGTTGAGGAGGGCGGGTGTGAGGCGCGGGGGAGGAGGCGGGGGGGATGGATCGAGTAGGAGCTTGAGAAGGCATGGTACCCCTCCTCGTCCCCCGCTTTCTGTTTCCAGCCCCGGTGCTTCATCTGCTGCTAGCTTCGCGGACCTGTCCCCTACAGCTGCTGCCGTGGCTGCTGCTGCAGCAGCAGCGCACGCAGCAGCAGCGGCAGGGTCACCTGGAGGAGGCATGGTAGGAGGAGCAAGGGGAGGAGGAGGAGGGCCGGGTGGAGGAAGAGGGTTCGTATCCCCTTCAGGTGCAGCAGCAGCATCTCTCCCGTCTCCCAAGTATCCGGGATCGAGGTGGGGTCCCCAAGGATCCCTTCAGCTAAGGTTAGCCACGGAGGCGCTAGCAGGAGGGCATTTGCAAGCGGCTACGTGCCATCAAGACGAAGTGCTTCTGTTTGTGGGCCTGGCCGCTTCTATTGCATCCTGGCAGCCTTCCACTGCTGCTATGTGTCTTCTTCACCTGTTAGATAGGCTGGCGTTTCTGGAATCTGCTTCTGCTGCTGCGGCTGCTGCAGCGTCGGCAGCGGCTTCAGCCGCGGAAGCAGCAGCAGCGAGGGTGGCAGCAGGGGTTCCGAAGAGCGTATCTGCTGATGCTGCAGGTTTGGCAGCCAGGCCTGCTACGGCGGGTCCGAACGTGGTGCGATCAGCTTCGGCAACCTCGCTTGCTGCTGCGGCTGCAGGTATGGTTGCCGCGGCTGCAGCAGGTGTGGCAGCAGCAGCAGCGGCAGCAGGAGGCTCATCCCCTCCTCCTTCCAGTCGACCCGGCACTCCCCTGGTCCAAGCCGCTCCTACTCTCGCACCGCCATCGCCCATTGCTCTCGCCCCCGCCTCCGCCCCTGCTCCTCTCCCTGCCCCTGCTCCCGCTCCTGCTCCTGAAACCCCCACGTCGTTTTTCAGCTTCAGGCGGCTCGCTCCTGGGTTTGGAAAGGCCTCCAACACATCAGGAGCGGGTGCAGCAGCAGGAGCAGCAGCAGCAGCAGGAGCAGCAGGGGCAGCATCAGTAGGGGCAGGCAGCAGCAGCATGAGCAGTCCTGGAGCAAGCACCCCTACCTCCCCCACGCACTCCTCCTCGGTGTGGAATCCCTGGCGTGATGCTACTTCCTGGCGAGACACCTCATCTGCTTCCTCCTCCTTCTCCTCCTCCCCCTCCATTCCTCGCCCCTCCACTGCTGCTGCTGGGCCGGTCGGCTCGCACTCTCCCCTTGCCCCTCCTCCCCCGCTGTCCCCGATTCCTCCCTCCCCGGTGAGTTCGTTTTGGGGGGGACAACAGCAGCCACAGCAGCAGCAGCAACAGCAGCAGCAGCAACAGCAGCGGCCTGCTACCTCTGCTGGGTTTCGCATGCTTCCTCCCGCTCCCATTGCCACCCCACAGCACAGCCCTGACCAGTTCCGTATGCACAACCCTACCGCTGGTACTAACGCTGCTGGTGCTGCGGGTGCTGGTGCTTACTCCGCTCCCACCTCCCCTACTGGACGCAACAGCAACGCAGCTGCCGGTCCCCCTCCTTCTCCTCACCCTCCTCCTGCCGCCCGCCATGCTCCCCCGCCCACTGTTCCAGGTCTTCCCGCCTGGTTAGACCTGCTTCCAGCCCCCCATCTGTCTGCGTGCCGTGTCTTTGTTAGTAGGTGTCTCAGGGCTGTTCTCACCGGGTGTTTTGACAGAGCAGGGCCTTTGGCAATTCGAGGTGCTGCTGTTGCGACGAAGGCTGCTGCGGCGGCGGCGGCGGCAGCGGGAGGGGCAGGGGCAGGTGCAGGGGGACAAGGAGGAGGGGTTGGAAAAGGAGGGATGAAGGGGAAGAAGGAGAAGAAGAGGAGGAGGAAGGAGAGGATGGGAAAGGGAGAGATGGGTGGGAGGGATGGACGGCTGAGAGGGTCTGGTGGTGCTGGTGGTACTATGGTTGGCATTTTTCATCTGGGTGTTGATGCCGATGCTGCTGGTGATGCAAGTGGAAATCCCAGTGCTGATCGCACAAACAGCAGCAACAACCATATCAACAATGGCGGCGAGGAGGAGGAGGAGGAATCAGATAACTCTGCTGCTGAAGACTCTGACAGTGAGGATAGCGAGAACGAGGAGGAGGAGGATGAGGAAGAGGATGAGGATGAGGAAGATGAGGAGGGCAGCAACAGCGACACCCTTCCGCCCATCTGGTCTCCCCCTCCGCTCTCCACTCTCGCCGAAACCACACTCGCCGAGGGCATCGCACGCGCCAAGCACAGCAATCTAGCGGAGCGCTGCCAAGAAATCGACCGCCTATACTACTCCTTCGACCTCGGCCCAGGCCTCCTCGCCTCGAATCTCTCTGCTGAAGCTCGGGAGTTGAGGCACTTGCATCCGGAGGATATACTCGCTTTGGCGGCTCATTTGACACGGATGAGTTTGCACGAGCCAGCGTTTCACTTGGGGTTGCGGGCGGTCTCGTCGGGGAGGCTGACCGTGGTGCAGTTTAAACAGGTGCTGCGGATGGTGTTTGCGAGCGGGGGAACGGAGACGTTCAGTGCGAGGTTTGCCCGCCTTGCCACGACGGTGAAAGCGGCCGCTCTCGCTCCTCCCGCTGCGGCTGCCGCGGCGACGGTTACCGCGGTAACCGCTGCAGTTGCGACAGCAGCAGGGGTGGACGTGGCGTTGCTGCCGCAACCGCCGTCGCCCCCACCTGCTTCTGTCTACATCGGTATGTTTGCTGATGCGTTGCTGAGAGGGAAGGCGGCAAGGCGGCACCACCCGTGGGCGTATGAGGTGACTCTTAACTTCCTCCGGATGAATCTGAGAGCCGCTGCTGTGGGTGTGTGTGCGGGACCGGGGGGTATGAGAGGTGCAGGAGGTGCAGCAGGGGCCGGAGGGGCCGGAGGAGGAGCAGGAGGAGCAGGAGGAGGGGATGGAGGGGGAGGGAGAGCGGCTCTTGAGACGTTGGAACAGGAGCTGTTAGCTCAAGTGACGCTGAATAGATGGCTGGGACGCGGGCTGTCGAACGCGCTCTCAGGGGCGATGGTACCTATAGAGCAAGGGGAGGAGAGGGCGATAGAGGTGATTGAGGAGATGGTTGCACCCCAGGTGGCTCTGGGATGGGGGGTGTGGCTGCGAGTGGGGCGGCTGGTGGAAGGGGAGAGGAGGCGGCTGCCAGTGCTTCTGGAGTCAATGCAAGTCAAATCAGTCATGCACACGTATAAGGTAGGCAGGCTGCTGCAGCTGGGTGAAGGAAAGGAAAGGAGGGCGAGGAGGAGATGGCGTAACAACCTACCCTCCCGTGGGATGTAAGCCTTCCAACTTCTTCCCTCCCGTTGCACTGCCTTGACTGCAACCTACCCCTGTTTGACTGGTGTCCCTTCTCTTTACTTCTGTCCTTCCTGCCCCCTGCCCCTCCCCCCCCCCCCTTCCCCTTCCCCTTCCCCCTCCCCCTCCCCCCGTTCCCCCTCCCCACCACAGGGTATAGACGAGAACGGGGAGTCATCTGATTCACTCTCCCTGGCGGTGTTTGACTGGGGCGCCAGGGGTCTGTGTAAGCACCTGCCAGCAGACGACCCGGCAGCCGCGGTGCTGGAAGTCATCTACCCTCTTGACGAGGAGCGCGTGTCCCTCGTGCTCTCGCTGTCTGCGCGCATCGCTGCCACGCACGCGCACGGGGGGAAGTGGCCGGGTGTGGACGCGCCCGTGCTGGTGGCGCAGCTGCTGACTCTGGCTGAGCAATGTGAGTTGGGCTGACTTGTTGCGTGGTTGCTTGGCTGGTTGGTTGGTACGTGCTGGTGCGCGTGCGCAGTGGCAAGGTGGCTGTGCTGGTGGCGCAGCTGTTGACTCTCGCTGAGCAATGTGGGTTGGTTGGGTGGCTGGTGGTGCTGGTGGTGGTGGGGTTGCTCATGTGCAGTGGCACAGGGGGAAGTGGCCGGGTGTGGACGCGCCTGTGCTGCTGATGGGGTTGCTGTTGACTCTCGCTGAGCAATGTGAGTTGGGTGTATGGACGCATGGACAGTACAGGCAGATGTCGCATGCTGTGACGTGAATGTGGCATCTTGTCCCCCTCCCCCCTCCCCCTCCTCCTACTCCCCCCTCGCTCCCTCGCCAAACCCTCACCCTCCGTACCCCCATGCACCATGGTCCAAGGACAGCTGGCAGATGTCACGTTCTGTGAACATGGCTCGCTTTTCTCCCTCACCATGCCCCACTCCATCCCTCTCCCCGTCCCCCCCTCCCACCAGGGCGCATGGACAGCCGGCAGATGTCGCGCGCTGTGAACGTGGCGTCTCTGCTGTGGGGCTGGGCACTGCCCAAGCGACAGCAGCTGCTGCAGCAGTGTGGGGTGAGTCGCAATGGGCGGTGAGAGAGGCAATTGGGGGAAGTGTTGGTAAGACACGGGTCTTGTTGTTGTGGGGCTGGGCGCTGCCCAAGCGACAACGGCTGCTGCAGCAGTGCCGGGTGGTGAGCGTGATAGGCGGTGTGAGATGAGGAGTATTGCATACACGCTGCTGAACCAGACATCATGACATCATGACATCAAACTCTCATTCTGTTCCGAACCAGCTCTCTACATACACCTCCCAACAACAGCCCACGTTCCTCCACTTTCCCTCTCCTTCCCCCCCCTCCTTCCTTCCCCCTTTGCTCCCCCCTTACCTCTCCCCCCCTTTTTCCCCGTGTCTGAACTCCTTGCTGTTCTCGCTCGGGTGCACGCATCAGTCCGCGGACGAGGCAAGGGAGGTCATGGAGCGCAGTGCCTCCTCCATCTGGCGCTCTGTTGCTGCCTCCAATGCTGCTGCCACCGGTACGCGCTGCCCTCTCTCTGCTCCTCAAACCCTGTTGACGTTTGAGTCGACGCAAAAGTGCCTCATTTATTTGAGGCACCTCAAAAGAGCGAAGTGCCTCCTCCATCTGGCGTTCTGTTGCTGCCTCCAGTGCTGCCACCGGTACGCGCTGCTCTCTCGCTTCTCACCCCTCCCGCCCTCACTTCTCCTTCCTCCTCCTCCCCCTCCCGCACCTCTCTTCTCTATCTACCTTCCTTCCTCCTGCTCACTGCTACTTTCTCCCTCCATCACTCCCTCTCCGTCCTTGAATTAGATCATTAAGTAACACCGTTGCCGCAACCTTGGCCGTACTCATCATTCGAGGCTTTCCATGTAGTGAGACATTGTCCCCCCCATATTATCGTCCGCAATTAGCATTGAAACCACAGTTGTGCGACTCTGCACTGCACGCCGTTGCTTCTCCCCGCCATTATCGTCACCTCTCTCTCTCTCTCTCTCTCTCTCTCTCTCTCTCTCTCTCTCTCTCTCTCTCTCTCTCTCTCTCTCTCTCTCTCTCTCTCTCCCCTCTTTGACTGCAGGTGGATCGAGCCGGCAATGAGGTTCCTTTTGCACCTGCTTCCAGAGCTGCTCCCGCTGAGGCCTCTTTTGGCGCGCCTCTTAAGGCGTCTTTTGAGGCGCTCCCAAATATGGCCAGAGCGGGGAGTAAATCTCATCGTGAAGCTTCTTGAAGCTGCTTCCGGAGGCCCCAAAAGGAGGAGCAAGCAGGCGATGAGCTTCCGTTTGGGGCCCCTTCTGATACTCCTTCCGCACTTCCCTTTTGAGGTAACTTATAAGGAGGACGGAGAGGGAGCTGGCAATGAGGTTCATTCTTATCAGTGCATTCATCAGGCAGCAGCACACCCGTCAACGCACGGCCATACTTGTTGCGGAGCAGGCACGGCCGTACCTGTTGCAGATCAGGCAGAGGATAACTTCTACCTTCCACCGGACCTTCCCGCCAAACCTCCTGCCGAACCTCTCTACTGAACCTCCTTACCGAACCTCCACACCAGATGCCCGTACCATCTACACCTCTCTTCATCCACCCGGCAGTCCACACTCTCACCCCACAGTCTCACTCACTCACCCCCCTATACAAGGTGGGAAATCCCCCCTCTCTCCACAGCACTCAGAGCACCCTGCTGCTACCACCGCTGCTGCTGATCACCTTCATTTGAAACACTCGGATCAGACACCATTCACGCTCTCACCACCACCATCTCCATTCACCGTTCATCGTCCATTCAACCCGCACCAGATTGTAGGGACCCAGACAGCCAGCCAGACAGCCCTACGATCTTGACTTGTCCTCGTCCCAGTCCCTAAAGTCAAGCCAAGCCCAGCAATTCCCGTCCCAAAGTCCCCAGGTCCCCTCCCCTTTCCTCCTCTTTCAAATCCTCCTCTTCCTGCCCTGTCCTGGCCCTCCTCCCAAGAAAACTCTCCATTGCTCTCCGTCCTGGATCCTCCACTATTGCTACTTGGGAAGCTGGATCCTCTCTGAGCCTAAACTTCGAAGCTTTTCCCATCCTTCCTCTGCACTTATGGTTCCTTATTCCACGTTCCGCTCGTGGATTTAGTGTTTCGAGGTGCCTCAAAAGTTCCTCGCGCAGATACACACTCAGAGGTCCGCTTGCCGCCGCACTGTTTTGACGTTTGAGCAATCCCATCCGTGCCCGTCAGAGAGCTAACCGCTGCTGACATCACCTTCTCTCCCTGCTGACATCACCTTCTCTCCCTGCTGACATCACCTTCTCTCCATGCTGACATCACCTTCTCTCCCTGCTGACATCGCCTTCTCTCCCTGCTAACATCACCTTCTCTCCCTGCTGACATCACCTTCTCTCCTTGCTGACATCACCTTCTCTCCCTGCTGACATCACCTTCTCTCCATGCTGACATCACCTTCTCTCCCTGCTGACATCACCTTCTCTCCCTGCTGACATCACCTTCTCTCCCTGCTGACATCACCTTCTCTCCCCGTTGACATAGTTTGCTGGCATCACCATCCACCTCTGCTGACATCACCACCCGCATCTGCTGACGTCACCATCCGCCACTGCTGACATCTCACCCTTTCCTGAGCACCCACCGTCCCGCACACTGATTGCTCAACTCAACTAACCTGACTGATCATTTAGCTGGCTTTCTTACAGTAAGCTCCCGTCCAGTCTTTTTAAAGGAAGGGCATGGGTGGGGAGAGGAAAAGAAGGAAAGGAAGGGAGGAGGGGAAGGGGAGAAAGAGGTGAAGTTAGTAGATAGCTGACTGCGGTTTGGGCACTGTAGGTGCGATATGAGAAGCTGCTTTAGGTAGCAGCAGAGGGGAGGTTTAATGAATCTCCTGGGAATTCGATAACGGGGGCAGCAGGCGGAAGCGGCATGAGCAGAGGAAGCGGGAGAGGAAGAAGGAGAGGGAGGGTCAAAAGATATAAGGAATGAGAGCCTTTATTAGCAGCGAGCCACCACCATCGGACCACCCCCGGTACACTCCCCACCTCCTATCGTCGACTGAGCAATGCTAGGAAGGTTCCTCTCCCCCCAAGTCCACAAGGTTCAGCTGCCAGCTAAGCAGTGCCAAGCCATGCAAATCAATCAACCCTCTGGGGCTACTACTGTACAACACCCCGCCCTCCCAGGGGGCAGCACCCAGTTTTGACCCAGTTGACTCGATTTGACTTTTCTGCTGACCAAGAAGATTGACTGACTACCTGAGACGGAATTTATACAGCCTCTTTCCTCCTTGAGCACAAGTAAAGTCCCGTAGTTTCTCCCTCACACTTGTGTTGATATGCTAGGTGCAATGGCACTGTTTCACCTTATAGGTAGATGTTATGTGATTCTGCCTTAGATGTGCAACTAACTGTGTTGCCCAGTATGTATAGTGGGCACGAGTAGTGATGTAAAGATATGAACTCATATGGTGATGTTGTAATGTTAATACTGGTACCTTATATAATATGGCCATGTACGTACCACCTTATAGCAGAATCTAGCCATTCATCTAAAATGTTTTCTCAATCAGCAGTACCAGCAGTAGTACCTTCACCCACTTGGATGATATCACAAGCAAAACGTAACGAAGCTGTGTTTTCCGAACCATCTTTATATGAGGCACAGAATTTGTGCACTCATGAATCATGATGATCCACTACCATGCAGACTAGACTCCTGCCACGAAGGATGTTAATCAAATCTTACACACATTAACCACGCAACCATGGTCTCTGTTCTACTCCCTCCCTCCCTTCCGCTTCCCCCCCCTCTCCTAGCTTTCCTCCACTTCCCTCTCCACTTTTCCCTCTCCCCTCTTCTCTTTCTCCTCTCTCTTCACCCCCCTCCCCTCTCCCCCCTCCCTTCAATCTAAAACTGCATCCCACTCGTGTCCCGCTTAACCTCAAACCCGACCGGATTCTCCAGCGCCAAAACCTTCGTGCTGCCCCAGGTCTCCTGCTTCACGGGCAGCGCCAAAATTTTCGCGACCGGCCCGTCCAGATCCTCATCGGGCACCCGCCCAAAAACTGTGTGCGCGTGGCCCCACTCAGTGTGATCGGCGAGGGAGATAAAGAAGTCTGGGCCCTCCCCTACGAGACACACGTCTCCTCGTTTGACGATGGGGGCTGATTCGCGGGGAATGGGCTTGAAGGGTAAACCGTCTGTTAGGAGGATGCCTTGCAGGAGAGCGTAGGGGGGACCCGGGGGCTGGGGAAGGGAAGTGGAAGGGGAAGAGAATGGAGTGAGGAAAGGTAGTAACAGCAGGAGTGAAAAGGTGAGAGGAACGATTTTTTAGTATACTAGGAAAAGAAAAAAATCCGCAGGAGCGAAATGGAGACAAAATCAGCAAGGTGGGCACAAAACGGGAAACGAGTTAAGTAAGAGGTGAGGGAGGAGGCGCAAGGAGAGTGGGAGCGATAAGGGAAAGAGAAAGACGGCGCAGAGCAGCACAGAAAGAGGGACAGACAGACACCTCTGTCCTTGCTCCAACCTAGTGACTTTTGAGTCGACTCAAAGTGCCATGGTAACGAGGTGACTTTTGAGTCGATTCAAAAGACAGACACCTCTGTCCTTGCTCCAACCTCTCTCAAGACAAGAAGATTCACATATATTCAGAGAAGAGGCGGGATGAGAAGCAGCATGGAAAGACACGTGGGAGGGAGGGAGGGAGGGAGGGAGGGAGGGAGGGAGGGAGGGAGGGAGGGAGGGAGGGAGGGAGGGAGGGAGGGAGGGAGGGAGGGTGTGGCGTGCAGACCTTGGTTGTCCTGCTGCCGTCCGTGCTCCACCCCTCCCCCAGCCCCTCTGCACGGTAGAGCTGGCAGCCGGTGCAGTACTTGAGATGCAGCAGCTCTCGAATGTACCCCACTGTCTTGGGCGCCCACGAGGGCAGCAGCTGGGGTGGAGGGGGAGATGGGAGAATGTAAGGATTGGGGGAGTGTTGAGTTTGGGTGGTGCAAGGGTGCGGTGGTTGGAACGAGATGAAGCAGCTCCCAGATGTACCTTACTGTCTTGGGCGCCCACGAGGGCAGCAGCTGGGGGTGAAGATGGGAGAGAGGGGGGAGAGATGGGAGCGACAGATGGGAGAGACGGCGAATTGAAGGACCAATACAGAGAGAAGGTGACAACTGACAAGGTGACAACTGACGGACGAACGAACGAACGAATGAACGGACAAGTTAATACCTCGATGCGAATAACGCGGTGCTCTGTGTGCAGCAATAGTGGAGTCACTTTTGAGGTGGAGTCTCAACGAGCGCACGCACGCACGCATGCACGCATGCACGATGCATAGCAGCATGATGCAAGCAAGACAGGCGCGACACGATTAGTACCTTTATGCGGATGACCCCCTTACAGAAGAAGAAGAAGAAGAAGAAAAGAACCTAGCATCGTGATGATACAAGATTAGATTTAAGACATGTCACGATGAGATTTGATAGTACCTTAATGCGAATGACCCCGTGCTCTGTGTGCAATGCTATGATGCCCTGCCATGCCATGAGAGCACACACACAGTGTAGGGGGAGAGAGAGAGAAAGAGGAGACAGCTTTTGGGGCGCTTTAAAAAACGCCCTTGATGCGGATGACTCCGTGCTCTGTGTGCAATGCTATGATGCCCTGCCGTGCCATGCCAGGCATGAGATGAGACGCAGGAGAGACGAGTAGAGGGAGAGAGGGGAAAAGGGAGAGTGGCAGAGCGAAAGAGGGAGGAGAGGGTTGCATAGAAGCGAGGGGGAGGGGGATGCACAATAACTAGATGGACAGGATGCACAATAACTAGATGGACAGGATGCACAATAACTAGACGGACAGGATGCATCCATGCACACTGCAGGAATGGAGTTGACTTTTGAGTCGACTCAAAAGAGTGCCAAGGCGATGCACAAGGATTAGATGGACAGGACATGATGCATCCATGAATGCAGGCACCAGACAGCTCACCCACCATCCATCCACCCATCCATCTCGTCCCCCCCTCCCTCTGTCCCGTATCAATCGCCCTCCCTCTGCCTCCCACCCACACCCCCTATCCCCTCACCTTGCCTGCCCCGTGCACAAGCCCGGACGTCCATGGGATTTCCGGGTTGTTACCATACACCTCTGGCTTCAACACGTCCTCCCATCCCATCTACCCCCCCCCCCCTCCCCCCCTTTTTTCATTCCCTCCTCCTCCTCCCTCCCTTCCAACCCCTTTTCACCTCTCCCCTCACCTTGCCTGCCCCGTGCACAAGCCCGGACGTCCATGGGATTTCCGGGTTGTTACCATACACCTCTGGCTTTAACACGTCCTCCTGCCGCTTCAGCCAGCACTGCAGGGATGCAGAGGGGGGGGGGAAACAAGCGGCAGGGGAGAAGGGAGGGAGTGGGTGGAGATGTGGAGCGGGTTGTTGCCACAACTCTGGTAGCAGCAGAGCAGTAACAGGCGAGACAGCCGTGGGGACAGGCAAGCGGTTGGATAGCCAGTCTTGGAACATACTCTGTTGGTTTTGAGCGGTTGGATTACCTCCCTCTCCTCTTCCTCTCCTCCTTCATTACCCTCTCACCCCCTTCACCTCCTCGTCCCCCCGCTTTCCCCCACTTCACCTACCTTTCCCCTCTTTCCTCCCTTCTCCTACCTGCCTGTAGTTATCCTTGCAGAGCTCCTTGTTACCGCAGTACACCCATGCGTTGCACTGACACACCGCACCCGTGCACATGTCCCTGCAGGCCGCAGGGGGCGGGGAGGGGAGGAAACGGAGGGGAGTGGGGAGGGGAAAGGGGGACGGAAGAACAGGGGAGGCGGGAAGAGAGTGGGGAGAGGAGAGAGGGGGGAGGTGGGAGGAGGGAAGGAGACAGGGGCGGGGACATAGGGGAAAGAGCGAAGGGGGATGGGGGAGGCAGGGATACAGAAGACAGGCAGCGGTAAAGGGAGTGTTGAGTGCATTCCACTGGATAGGGAGACGGAAGGCTGGCAGGTGCGCAGGCAGGCAAAGGGAGAAACAAGGGCGAGAGCTCTCCCTTGTGAAGTATCTCCAAAAGAAGGCGTGGCTGTGGCGCAAACACAAGGACGGAAAGGAAACGGATGGAGGAAGGGGTGTGCGTGTGCGTTGTGCACGTGTCAAACAGAAGGAAGGAAGGCAAACCATGAGGGGTGTAAGAAGGAGGGCAGGACGTACAGTGGGGTGGGTGGGGTGGGGTGGGGTCGGGTGGGGTGAGGTGGGTGAGGTGGGTGAGGTGGTGGGAAGGAACGGGAACAAGAGGAAGCAAGGGAGAGCAGAGGGGAAGGGTGGTGGAAACGCAGGGGACGGGCGGATCAGGGGGGGGTTTCATCTGATACCCACTTTCTCCGCTTCCCCCACTTCCCCTAATTCCCCGGATTTCCCCCCTCCCGCCTCACCCCGAGTACCAACAGCTGCATCCCATTCCCCCTCCCCTTTCACCTCCCCCTTCCCCTGCGCTCACTTGCACTGCTGGCAGCAGGCGGCAGCAGTATCCGTGGGGTTATTGCTCCCCCACTTCACTGCATCCCCCCACAGCTCCAAGTGCTCTTCTCCCAGGCAGAAATCCCGCGAATCCTCCCCCCCGCCCCCTGACGCGCCCTCCCCCGCTCCCCCCGCGCCAGTGCTGCTGCTTCCCCCCTTCGCGCCCGCGCCTGTGGTTGCTGCTGCTTCAGAGTCGGAGGGGGAAGAGGCCTGGGGGGAGGGGACGGGGGAGGGTAAGGGGAAGGGGAAGGGGAAGGGGAAGGGGAAGGGCATCAGGAAGGGTATCAGGAAGGGCAAGCGAAAAGGGACGGAAAGGGAAGTACGTAAATCAGAGATTGAAGAAATCTGCGGCGAACGGGGAGGAGGAGTGTTGTGGAGGGGTGTTGGGGAGCGAGGGAGCAGGGGAGTGGGGTGGGGAAATGGGGGGGGAGCATACGGTTCAACCGACACCAGCAAACCAGCACAGCACCCCCAACCCCTCAACTCGTAACTAGCTCTCTCCCCCCTCCTCGTCTAGAGCTGAGTTCAAGAGTCAAGCCCACACGGGACGACAGGCAGTGCTGTTTCTCAGAGACGCGTTAAGAAGATCTACACCCAGAAGAGCCCAAGATGCCCGGAAAAAAAAACCCCCAGTAGCAGATCGAAGTCGATAAGGGTGGAGGGCGGCGGGGAGAGTTTATGTTTGAGACGCCTCACGAATAGACCCAAGGTTTCCCAAAGCACGCAAGAATACTCACCTCCAGTAGCAGATCGTCGTCGACAAGGGTGGAGGGCGGCGGGGAAAGTAAGTGTATGTTTGAAGAGCCTCAAGAGTGGAGCCACGGTGACCCAACACACACGAGAATACTCACCTCCAGGAGCAGATCGTCGTCGACCAGGATGGAGGGCGGCGGTGATAGCGCGGAGAGCACACTGTACGTTGCAGCGAAGCCGACTATAGCGAGGAGGATGAGGATGAAGAGCGTCCCCATCGCCGTCTCCCCGCGCGCCGTTCCGCCTGCGGCGGACGGACGCTTCTGACCTCCCCGCATGGCGGAAGCGGTTCGCAACGGTCCGCGGAAGGAGCGGAAGACGCGGAAGTAGTGTTGTGATAATTCTTGAGGCTCCGCCTATCGACTGATTTAAACGACTGGTTGGCGAATTTGGAGCGACTGGTTGGCGAACAGAAACGACCGCTGAGCGAAATAGAACGACGGATTGGAGAATTTTGGTAAGAGCGCAGACCAGTCCACGTGTCGCTGCTGAGGAACCAGATGAGTTGACGAGACTCTTCAACAGGTGAATGAGCTTAAACCGCGAATGAATAAAATCCACGTGGCGAACGCCGACTATGCCGTCGGGGAAGGGATACGGAACGCAGAAGTGGGAGAAGCAATTAGAGACACCGTGGCTGCGGCCAAGAGATAAGATTAATAAGGGATCTCCAGTCGAGCAATTCTCAGAGGACTTGCGTGGACTACCTGCTTTAAATTGGACTACTAGTCTTTCGTCTTTCGACGATTTGCTCGTGCCACAAATCCAAGCGAATTTACAGGATTCGTTTGCTTGTCTAGCACTGGCTGAATGAGATAATCGGCAGAGAGACGAGCGATTGACAAGACGTCAGTCGTGGAGCGTGCAGCGATCGCCCACCCTGCCCAGCGTTAGCCACACAATTTCGCAATAGTTTCTGCCACGAATGCCGCTGCGACGACCGATTGCGAAGAGAACCGCACCGCAACGACTTATACAAGCCCAGTGAAGCTCAGATCAAGAGAACGCGGTGAGACGATGACTGGATGGATTGGTACGAAAGACGTGTCTTTGGTTATATGTTTCTTCTGGCTCGTTGTGTCGGATCGGATCGGACACAGGACGGGAGGCCGGCACTCTGCGCACAGCAGTGAGACGATGCTGATTGGCGCAAGTTAGTTTCCTGTCAAGTGCGCAGCTGATCTAAGCACAACCCAATCGGGGAAAACAGGCACAGAAGCGAGGAGATCCCTATGATGGTCCCATCCCATCCATCTGTGTCAGGAGGAGAATGAACGACTTTTCTGCTGGGTGCAAATGGGCTCTGCGGGGTACTGGTAGGTTGGGGAGAAATTGGGTTGAGGGGAGGGAGGAAATACAGTACATAATAGAGGGGGAAGTGGGGGTGAAGTACAGGCAGGAAAACAGCAGATCAAGCCTGGGAATGAGTGTGATTCTTCGGGAAGCTATTAGCGTCTACAGTGAGATAATAGCGGGTACTAGATTTAGAATGACAATGATCTCCGCCACCTCACGACAGCCATGGATTTCTACGCGTCCGAGCTCGTCAATGTCCCCGCTAGGGAGTTCGCTTTTAACATCTGATCTAATAAACCGCAATGCTGATATCTCATCTATCGGAAACTCTGTCATTACTTCCGACATTGACATTCCGTGCTATCACGTGACCACCCTTGATGTTAACCGAATACTCCCAAGGCCTCGGGAGCTCAGCGTGAAGTCTTACCAGTTTTATAACAATGCATGGTGTTTTGACAACAGTGCTATCAAGACTATTCATCTATCAGCTCCCGAGGCTTCGACCTCGAGTTTGCTCTACTATCAGCATGAATACTGGGAACTTGACAAGATCAAATTACTACTTAAACAGTCCGTGCTCAGAAGCTTGGCAGGCTTTCTCTGTCAAAATGTTATAGTGGTTACATTTGTGTAGGCTGTAGTGGGATAGCCCTGAAGGGGTACAACCCAATTATGGTTAGTACTTGTACCCAACTTTCTGCTCAATGCATCCATTCACGTTCACTATTCTGACTTGGTTTCAGAGCAGGACCTGTCCTAGGACCGATTTTTTTTAGGGCCCACCACAGAGCGCTGCCCCACGAGTCGCGCTGCCCTGCCCCGCCCTGCCCTGCCTGTCGCGCCGCATCGCTGACCGCCGTGCCACCCTTAGCAGCCCGCACGTCGCCCTTTGCAGTCCGCCGCGCCGCCCTTTGCAGTCCACGCGCCGCCCTACTACTGCCTGCCGCGCCGCCCTTTGCAGCCCACCGCGCCGCCCTTTGCAGCCCGCGCGCCGCCCTTTTGCAGCCCGCCGCGCCGCCCTTTGCAGCCCGCGCGTCACCCCTTGCAGGCCGCGCGCCGCCCGTTGCACCCGCGCGTCGCCCTGCTGCTGCCCGCCCTTCTGCGTGCAGCTCTGCTGGCCGGCGCCCTGCTGCCCGCACCGCCCTGCTGCTTGCGCCGCCCTACTGCTTGCGCAGCCCGGCTGCTGCCCGTCCTACTGCGCGCAGCCCTGCTGGCCGGCACCCTCCTGCCCGCGCCGCCCTGCTGGCCGTCGCCCAGCCCTTCCCTGCGCGCTCCTCTAGTCCTCTAGTGCTTGCGCGCCGCCCCGCCTGCGTGCCGCCCTGCTGGCCGCGCTCCACCCTGCTCTGCCCGCTATGGCTTCTCTCAGTGTACTCACCTTCGATCATGAGGGCCGTCCGATCCCGTTCGATACGTGGCTCGACGACTTACAGTTGTACCTACTGAGCGATTCTAGAGACAGCGTTTCGTTGTTTGACCACACGTCTGGAGCCTCTCTCGCCCCTCCCGCCATAGCTGACAGTGCGACTCGCTCACAATGGCTTACCCGTGACGCAGCTGCTCGCTTAGCCATTCACAACCACCTGACGTTAGCCGAACGCGCTCACTTTGGCCAGCACAAGACTATACAAGCCCTGTACGACGCTGTAGTCGCTCGTTACTCTTCCCCTGCCACTGCTGCTCTAGGCCGACTTATACTGCCCTACCTGTTTCCCGCGCTTTCAGCCTTTGCTACAGTCGAGGACCTCGTTAGCCACCTCCGCACTAGCGATGCTCGCTACCGCGCTGCCCTCCCAGCAGAGTTCCTTGACAGGAACCCGCCCCCGGTGTACATCACTCTCTACTTCATAGTCACTCGCCTCCCTGACTCTCTTCGTGCAGTCAGGGACCACTTTCTCGCACTTGACCCACAGACCTCACTGTCGACCTACTCGAGAAACACCTCCTTGGAGCTGAGACTAGCGTAGTTGCTTTAAGTGCTGCTCGTGGCACTCCTCGCACACCCTTCTTTGAGGGGTGTTCTCCCTCCCCCCTTGCCCCCTCCTACGCTTCTGCTGCTGCTGTTGACATCCTTGGTGCTGAGGATGTCGGGGCTGCTTCTGCTCTTAGTGGGAAGCGCCGCAGCAGCAAGGGAAAGGGTGGCAGGGGTGGTGGTGGTGGCAGTGGGGGTGGTGGTGGTGGAGGCAGTGGAGGCAGTGGAGGTGGCGGAGGTGGTGGCAGCGGTGGGAGTGGTGGCAGGAGTGGGGGCTTCGGTGGCGGCGGTGGTGGCAGCGGTGGGGGTGGCGGTGGTGGTGGTAGTGGGAGTGGTGGCGGCGGCAGTGGTGGTGGTTGGGGTGGAGCTGTTCAGAGGGGAGGTTCTGGCGGTGGCCAGAGGTAGCAGCAGTGGGGTCGGAGTGAGACACCTACGCCTCAACAGCTTCGTGAGTGGTTTGCTCAGCGTGGGGCGTCTGGGGGTAGTGTTCGCTGCCCGTATGCCATTCGCACAGGTGACCGCGCTGGTCAGACATGCGGGAAGCTTCACACTCAGCACCGCTGCTTCTCCCGCCTTGACGACGCTTGGCGTGTAGAGTTTGGAGACGAGGCTGAGCGCCCCTGCTGGTGAGAGCTACTTAGGTCTGGAGTTGATATCTTTGCTCTTGACTATGATGCTATCCTTGCTGCCATGTATGCCATGTATCCTTGACTATGATCCATGCGGCTGCTCCCCGTTTTCTGTGGCCGTTTGCTGTCCGGTACGCTGCGCATCAGCTCAACCTCTGCCCCCGTGTCTCCTTGCCGAAGACCTCGCCTACAATGCGTTGGACGGAGAAGGTTGGCGATGCGTCGGTGTTCCGGGTCTAGGGCTCTCGTGCCTTTATCCGCGATACTTCCGCGGACAAGCTCTCCTCCTGCGCTATTCCCTGCGTCTTCCTTGGCTTTCCCCTGACGCGCCTGGCTGGCAGTTTTACCACCCCACCTCACACCGTGTCCTCCCCTCTCAGGACGTCACGTTTGACAAGTCGGTTCCCTTCTACCGTCTCTTCCCCACCCCCCCGCCCCCCCCGCCGCTCTTCCTTGCTCCAGGTCCCCCTCCGGTAGACCCCCTCCCCCCTCAGGGTCCTTCTCCCTCAGGTGTGTCTCAGGTAGACCCACTCCCCGGGACTGTGCTTGTCGAAGTCATTGTAGACTCAGGTGCTGCTAGAGGTGCTGCGTCTGGGGGTGCTGCGTCTGGGGGTGCTGAGCCTGCGAGTGCGGAGCTTGGAGGTGCTGAGCCTGAGGGTGCGGAGCGTGGGGGTGCTGAGTCTGGGGGTTCTGAGCGTGGGGGTGCGGAGCCTGGGGGTGTTGAGTCTGGGGGTGTGGAGCCTGGGGGTGCTGAGTCTGAGGGTGCGGAGTCTGGGGGTGCTGAGCCTAGGGGTACTGCGTCTGCTGGAGGTCCTGCGGGTGCCTCAACACGGCTGTCTCCCCGGCAGGAGCCTCTCTCACCGCAGAAGCTGCGCGAGTGGTTTGCTCAGCGCACACGCCTTCGGAGTGGAGCTGCAGGAGCTGGAGGCTCTGCCGCTGGAGGCACTGGAGCTGGAGGTGCTGGAGCTATTAGTCTTGGAGGTGCTGGAGTTACTGCTGGAGCTGGAGGTACCGGAGGTGCTGGAGCTGGTGGTCCTGGAGGTGCTCGTACTAGAGGTACTAGAGCTGCCCGAGCTGGTGGTGTTGGAGACCCTGGAGCTGGAGGCACTGGCGCTGGAGGCGCTTGAGCTAGAGGAGCTAGAGTTGGAGACCGTGGCGATGGAGGCGCTAGAGTTGGAGGCACTGACGCTGGAGGCGCTGGAGCTGGAGGCACTGGAGCTGGAGACTCTGGAGCTGGAGACACTGGCGCTGGAGGCGCTGGAGCTGGAGGAGCTGGAGCTGTAGACCCTGGAGCTGGAGGCGTTGGAGCTAGAGGCACTGGAGTTGGAGACCCTGGAGCTGGAGGTGGCGGTACTGGTGCTGGAGGCATTGTGCAGTGGCGACCGTTTTTCGTTCCGCCGCCACCATCGTCTCTGCCGCCACCGTCGTCTCTGCCGCCACCTGACTCGGTCCTTCGCCAGGTTCTTAGTCTCCCGTCTTCTACAGGCCTTCCTCCTAGCTTACTGAGTCCATCGCCTCACCACTCGCAGCCACAGTTACAGCCAGACTCCCCAGTGCCTGCTCCTTCTCCTTACGCTGAGCAGACATACTCTTTTACGGAGCGTCGTGAGCCAGAGTCTCGTCCTGCCTTGCCTGTTTGCGCTGTTCTTACTTGTCGTCGTGTTCCTCGTCCGCGTCCTCCTCCTGTCCCCGGCACTCACATTATGGCACTTCGTCCTTCCTCTATTCCACTGCGAGTTCCCCTGCCGCCTCCTCCTGTGTCCTCTCTTCCTGCCGTTCCTGACCCTGAGTCTGACTTAGCTCGTGCTGCCAGTCCTACTGTCCCTCATCTTCTAGCCACTGTTGTCACTGACCCTTTGTTTGAGTCCACTGCTGCGTCTGCCCTAGTTGCGGAGCTTGTTGACTTTGCTGTCGCCTGTCGTCTCGACTATGCCACTAGTCTTGTTGCTGGGTCTGAGTCCGACTGTCCTACGTCCGTCGGGGGTGAGTGTCCTCTTGGCACGGACGTCCTTGAGGACAGGCAGGAGGAGTTTGAGTGTCTTACAGCTGCTGTACCTCATCTCGTGGCCATGCTGCTTGCACCTGAGGAGACCCAGATGCACCAGACATCCCAACCTCGCACTCTTACGCAGAGGCAGTTATGGGTCTGTACTCCTCTTAGTGGCAGACAGCCATGGACACAGAGATGGCATCATGGAAGTCCACAGGCACCTACGTCGACGCAGTTCCCCCTTTTGGGGCGAACATTGTCGATGGCATGTGGATTTTGAGGGTGAAGCGGCCTCCAGGTTCTCCGCCTGTCTTCAAGGCTTGTTACGTTGCACGAGGCTTCAGTCAGTGACAGGGAGTTGACTTCTTCCAGACCTTCTCCCCTACCCCGAAGATGACCACTCTTCAGGTTCTGCTGCACATTGCCGCTCAGCGTGACTACGAGCTGCACTCTCTTTACTTCAACACAGCTTTCTTACAGGGCAGCTTGCACTAGGAGATCTGGCTACGCCGCCCACCTGGCTTCACTGGACACACTGAGGATGACGCTTGGGGGTCTTGGTTTTGCTCCTTCGACTGCTGACCCGTCGCTGTTTCTGTGCACCGACACATTGCTGCCACCGTTCTACATCCTCGTGTACGTCGACGACTTGGGTTTTGCCACTGTTGACATTGAAGCACTAGCCCTTGTGAAGTCGGAGCTGCAGAAGAGACACACCTGCACTGACCTGGGTGAGCTGCGCAACTATCTTGGCTTGCAGATCACCCGGGACAGAGCACGGCGCACCATCACCCCGACTCAGTCACACATGGTGCACCAAGTCCTTCAGCGCTTCGACTTCCGGTACACCTCGCCACAGTCCACTCCTCTGCCTACCGGTCACTCGCTCTCAGCTCCACCTTTGGACGAGTCCGTAGAGCCGAGTGGCCCATATCCAGAGCTTGTGGGCTCCCTCACGTACCTGATGATTTGCATTCGACCTGACCTTGCCTACCCTCTTAGCATCCTGGCACGCTACGTTGCGCCCGGGAAACACCGACCAGAGCGCTGGGAGGCCGCTAAGAGGGTGTTGCGCTACTTGTGCAGTACTTCCGGCTCTGTTTCTTGGCGGTCTACCCGTTCATCTTCTGTTCTTAGTTCCAGTTGTGAGGCTGAGATCTACGCAGGGGCCATGGCTGCAGAGGAGTTACGCTGGCTCACCTACCTGCTGACCGACTTGGGAGAGTGGCCTCGTTCTTCTCCAGTCCTGTGCGTGGACAACAAGGCCATGATTGCCTTGTGTCAGGAGCACAGACTGGAGCAGAGAACGAAGCACATCGCTCTGCGTTACTTTCTTGCTCGAGAGTTGCAGCAGCGTGGTCAACTTCGTTTTGCTTACGTGGCCACTCAGACGAACACTGCTGATATATTCACCAAGGCACTTCAGTGGTGATCATCAGCGTTTTTGTACTATTTTAGGCCTTGTGCCTACTTTGCCTCACTTGCTCACTGCGTGGCTTTGCTTGTACTATGATCTATATATAGCTACATGCTTACACTTGCTAGGGTATGATCACTATAGTGTTTGTTCTCTTTTATATAACTCTGCTTGTGAACTGGCCTTGTGGCCATTTGCTTGTGCTCAGAATGTGTGGTGACTTCGTGATCCACCCTGAGCTTGCTTTGCTTTTCTTGACTGTTCTTGTGACCACTTGTTCTCCCCCACTTTGCCTATGGGGGTGTGTCAAAATGTTATAGTGCTTACATTTGTGCTGGCTGTAGTGGGATAGCCCATAAGGGGTACAACCCAATTAGGGTTAGTACTTGTACCCAACTTTCTGCTCAATGCATCCATTCTCGTTCAGTATTCTGACATTCTCTTCATTGTTGTTCAGCACGCTTTCAACCTGCCTAAGTCTCATCATCGCACTATGGCGCATCCCAAGAATACCAGATCCAAGTTGATTATGGACCAGGCTTCTGCTGATGGTGGTGTCATTCCACCTGTTGACCCGCTGGTCAATCCTGCTGCTGTTGATCTGTCTGTTGATCCGTTGGTCAAGTCTGTGGGAGACAAGGCATTGGGAGCGTCAGACACCATCTCGTCAACAGTTAACAACATTGCATTGGGAAGCTCTGGCCTGTCGGTGGAAGAGAAGGCAGTGGATGATGACGGCTTCATTGACGACGATTCGGATGTAGAAATGGAGATCGACCTGGAAAAGGAGTCGGCTCTCAAGCTGCGTTCAACACTTATCGTGTTGTTTCCTGTTAACTTGGTCGTTGCAAAGGAAGTTGCTTCTATTATTGATGACGTGTCAATGCTGATCAAACGCGGATGGAATGCAGAGTTGTTCGCTGAAGCTCAAACCACGACCAAGTTCCAGGAACTGTTGCCGGCCTATGTCGCCAAGGTCCGCTTCGGCCGGCTGCTTGTCTCCTTTACCCTGCAAGAGGATGTGGAGACGGTTAAGCGTAAGGAAGTGCTTTACCAGAGGATACTGAGAACCCGGCTTACCTGGGGGAGAAGGCGCTTAACCCTCATGTGCTCGAGGTCATCTTCCGCGGTGTCTCCTCTCTGGTGGAGCTTGATCGGCTTGCTGTCAGGCTCGTTGTCTACAAGCTGTCCAACCGCAAGCGGCCGGCTTTCCAAAGCTGCTCCTGTCTTCACCGCGTCCTCCACCCTGTGACTGGTGCTGACATGGAGACAGTTAAAGGACTTGTCTACCTTTTCCCAGGAGATCTGCACTGCTGGCTGCACGTGGTGTCAGATCCTGCAGATCGGTCGAAGACCATCCTGATCCACTACCCTGCCTTATCCTGCACACTCTGTGGCGGGCAACACTATGATAAGTATCATAGTGTTTTCGCCGTAGAACGTCAGGGTAATGTTGGGAAGTGGAATCTGACGGTTGGGAAAGCGCATCGGCTGAATAGTAAAGCTTTAAGCGCATGCATCATGGTATCCGCCTCACCTTACTTTTTTCAGTTACTAACTCTCCGCTTGGCTCTCGCAGCATCGTCTCTGAAAGCCACCCCGCTAGTACTCCCCCTCCTGAAGGACCCGGCTCTGGCACTCATCTCGACCGGGAGCAACAGGGAAGAGTGGTTATGCACGCAGGCCGGCTGCAACAAAGCTCACGGGAAGTGCTTCATGTCGGCGAAGGACCATGTCACCTCAGCGGCTCACCTTATCAACTTGGAGAAGATTGGAACCGCTACCAAGGCATCCCTCGAAAACATCGGGCTTGCTGCCATCAAGAGGCAGTATGGGATATGAGCAGGAGGCTTCTCACGGTGGCTCGCGTGTGTTCGGTAGTCAGTGTTGTTGGTTCAGTTGCCTTACTCAGCCTGTGGATGCATAGGGGTTGCCAGACAGTGGTAAAATGATTAACAAGCCAAACATCATCACCTGTACGAGCCTCAATGTCAACGGCTTAGGAGGTGGAGGAAAACAAGAGAGCGTTATCAAGTGGTTAAAAGATGCAGCAGACATAGCAGTTTTAACAGACAGTAGATTAGCGGAATCCCACCCTTACTGGTCTTCGCCTAGCTTCACCATAGTAGCAGCTGCCTCCCCTAGAGCGAAGGCTGGCGGAGTCGCAGTCATTAGCAGAAACCCATCCTTAGGATTCTCCAACACCGTTTCACATCCTTCATGCATAATCATACGCACCGGCGTAGATGGTCTCGGCTTACAGTTTACACTGATAGCAGTCTATTTTCCGACGAGTCCCGCAGTTAGAACGCCTTTCATCCTTAACGTTCTTGGTCCAGTGATAGATCAGATACCACCGAGTTCCAACCTGCTCATCATTGGAGACTTGAACATAATAGAAGACCCTGCCTTGGACAAAACATAAAAAAAAGGCTTGTCATCCGAAAACAACAGACTCATTAATTGCTGCAACGCCTTCCAACTGTCAGACGCATACCGCACGCTTTATCCCAGAGACCGAGAGTATACATTCTATTCCACAGCTAAGAGAGAAAGCTCCCGAAGAGATAGAGCCTTAGTGTCCATGTCCCTCTTACCGTTTTTAGTTGACGCCTCGCATGTCTCCCCAAAAGAGAGAATCTCAGACCACGGCTTCGCGATCCAGGTTACGCTCAAGGTAGACGACAGAGCCCGCCTTGGTCCCGGTATCTGGAGGTTGGATGCTTCACTCTCTAACAGGCCGGGGGTCCGACGTATCATTAAGGAAACATTGGGGAAAATGTCAGTAACGGATGGACAGAGCTATGAGATCCTAATCTCCAGACTCAACACCAGGCTTAGACATTACATGAAGGAGGAGCACAAGAGGGTGAGGGCGACTTTCACGCACCTGGTTGTCAGAATAACGAACAAGGATGAATAAACTATGAAACATTTGGGTACAAGTACTAACCCTAATTGGGTTGTACCCCTTATGGGCTACCCCACTATAGCCTACACAAATGTAAGCACTATAACATTCTGACACACCCCCATAGGCAAAGTGGGGGAGAACAAGTGGTCACAAGACCAGTCAAGCAAAGCAAAGCAAGCTCAGGGTGGATCACAAAGTCACCACATAGTCCGAGCACAAGCAAAGGGCCACAAGGCCAGTTCACATGCAGAGTTATATAGAAGAGAACAAACAATACAGTGATCATACCCTAGCAAGTGTAACCATGCAGGTATATATATAGATCACAATACAAGCAAAATCACGCAGTGAGCAAGTGAGGCAAAGAGGGCACAAGGCCTAAGACAGTAGAGAAGCGGTGATGATCACCAGGCAGAAGTGCCTTGGTGAATATATCAGCAGTGTTGGTCCTAGTGGCCACGTACGCAAGATGAAGATGGCCACGCTGCTGCAACTCTCGAGGAAGGAAGTGTCGCAGAGCGATGTGCTTCGTTCTGTGCTCCAGTCTGTGCTCCTGACACAAGGCAATCATGGCCTTGTTGTCTACGTATAGAACTGGAGGCGAACGAGGTTGCTCTCCTATGGAGGTGAGCCAGCGAAGCTCCTATGCAGCCATGGCCCCTTCGTAGATCTCAGCCTCACAACTGGAGCTGAGCACCGAAGACGAGCGGGTAGACCGCCAGGAAACAGAGCCGGAACCGAGGCTGAAGGTGTAACCCTGTGACGACCGCTGCGTAGCTGAGTCGTCAACCCAAGAAGCGTCTGCGTGACCAGTGAGGACAACTGGACCCCGTGCTCCAAGCACAAGCCCCATGCTCGACGTACTGCACAAGTAACGCAGTACCCTCATCGCAGCATCCCAGTGCAACTTTCGGTGCCTGCCGGGAGCCAGGAAGCGAGCTAGGAGGCTGAGAGGGTACGCGAGGTCAGGTCGTGTGCACGTCATCAGGTACATGAGGCAACCCACAAGCTATGGGTACAGACCACTCGGCACTACGGACTCGTCCGAAGGTGGAGCTGAGAGCGAGTGACCGGTAGACAGACTCTTGGACTGGCCTACGCCGTTACGCAATGATTTGCCTGTCGCTGATATTGACACGTCTTAGCTGCGTATGCTGATAACTCTAGTGCTGTCGGTTTCTATCATTCCAGCGTGCCTAGACTTAGTTCTCTCGCTGATTCTTGTGTAGGATCCTCTGTTGTTTCCTACTTGCTGACGCATCCGTCTCCTTCATTACCGACTCCGGTGCGTCCCAGTGCTTCTTCCGCAACCGCACAACCCTCTCGCTGCTTCTTCCGCGACCGCACAACCCTCTCGCCACTTCCAGCTCCTGTCGCAGTCTCCTTGGCTAACCCCTCTTCCGGACCGGTCGTCGCACGAAGCGATACTGCTGCCCATTAGTCCCCTCAAGCTCCCTCACATGTGTGCACATCGTTCACCAGGAACTTGGTGGGTGTCCGTTGTCTTCAGGACCTTAGCGTCACCAGTGTATTTCATGGATACGAACGGTTTGCAACTTGTGCTTTACCCGCACTCCGACCGTGGTGGCGAGTCCGTCTCCGCCTTAGTCTATTCCGTCGTGCTGAGGGCATTACCCAAATAAACTCGCTCTCGGACTCGCCGCAGCAAAATATGGTGGATGAGCGTCGCAATGGCCTGGTCATGGGGAACGATTGTTCCTCCATGATTCATGTAGTGCCCCCATTTCTTGCAGTCTGCTACACCTCGCACCAGTTGAACTTGTGACACCGTGTCACACGTCCGCAGGTTTTGCAGACCATCCTCTGGTCTGGATCCCCTGGTGTTTCACGTATGACGGTTGCCTTGTTCATGCCTGCAGCCCTCGCGCGGACAAGCTCTCATCCCGCACTCTCCTGCGCGTCTTCCTTGATTTCCTCCTCGACTCCTTCGACTGGTTGTTCCATCACCCTTCATCTCACCATTTCCTTCGCTCTCGTGACGTTACCTTCGACGAGACCGTCTGATTTTATACTAGCTTCCCTCGCCGAGGTACCCCAGCCCCCCCCCCCTCCCCTCTTTCTCACTCTCACTCCGCCCATTGGTCCCACTCCACTACTAGCTCCTATGCCCCCGTGTCCTGCCCTGTCTGGTGTGTCGCAAGTCACCCCCCTTCCCTCGGTTGGACCTGTGGAGGAGTCTGCTGACTCTCAAGGCCCGGTATCTAGTGGTGCACCTCCTGTTTTGGCACCTTCGCTGCCTCCCCTCCGCCCCCCGCCCCCACCATAGCCGTTGTCGTAGTCTCTGCGGTCACCGGCATCGTCTTCGCAATCGCCGCAGCAGTCGCCACTGCCGCAGTTGGTTGATTGGAATCTAGGGGCGTTGTTGCTGGGTGTGCAGGTTCCGGGAGTGTTGCCGTTGTGGGTGCTGTCTATGGGGGTGTTGGTTCTATGGGTGCTGATGCTAAGAGTGCTGGTTCTGGGTGCAACTGCAATCGCCGCAGCAGCAGCCGCCGCTGCAACCATAGCAGCCGAAGTTACCGCCAAATTCTTCACTTTGCCTTCTTGGCATTTCTTACCACCCCTAGTCTGATTGATCGCCGGCTCCCCCCTCAATGTCTCAGTGTGTCTACGGTCCCACGTTTCCTCCTCCGATCTCGTCTCTGGCCCGTCTTCCTCCTTGTTCACAGCTGTCGCCTCCTCAACCTTCTGACCCATCCCCTGCCTCCCACCACTGGGTCCGTCGTCCCTCTCATGCTTGTCCCATGCCTCCACTTCCGAGGTTCCACTCTATGCTCCTTAGATCTCGTCCCCTTCATGTTCTGCCACCCTCCGTTCTCCCGCCACCTCCTCCGTCGTCCCGTACTATTTCCACTCCTCCGTTCTCTTGCGTCCTCCATGTCGCTCGCCCAATTTTCTCCCGTGTCCTTTCCTCCCTCGTTATCGACCCCACTACTCCTCCTCCGTCTGTCTTTGTCCTTGTCGCTACTGTTACTGACCTTGCCTCCACTTGCCGCCTTGACTATGCCACTCAATTCGTCTGTACTCCTACCCATCCTCCATCCGTCGGGGGTGCTCCAACCCTTGGCAGTGACGTCCTACAGGACAGACAGTTCGAGCTAGCTTTCCTTGCGACCGCTGCTCCTTATCTCTGCACCATGTTGCTAGCCCTTTAGGGTGACCCAAACGCTCTTGATATCCCGACCCCTAGCACCTACGATGAGGCAGTCTAGGGACCCTCGGCCTCTAAGTGGATAATAGCCATGGACGCCTGAATAACATCTAGGAGTGGCATGGTGCACAGTAGGGCGCGGCAGGCGCGCGGCATGGCGCAGCCGGGCGCGTGGTAGGGCGCAGCAGGGCGTACAGCAGAGCGCGCGGGCGCATGGCAGTAGGCGCGCGGTGGGCGCGGCAAGGCGCGCAGTAGTGCACGGCAGGCGCGGGGTTGGGCGCACGAGTGTGCGGTAGCAAGGCTCGACAGGGCGTGCCGCAGGGCATAGCAAGGTGCGTGGCGGGTGCAGCAGGGCGCGTCAAGGCGCAGCAGCCGCGCGGCGGGGTGCACGACAGGTTGCATTAGGCAAGCGTAGCAGGCGTGCGTGGGGCGTGACAGGGCCGCTTGGCGGGGTGCTTAGAGAGAGGGGGGAGGGATGGGAGGGAGAGGAAGAGGGCGCTAAGGGAGGGATGGGATCGTTAGAGAGGGGGGTGGCGGGAGGGGGGGGGGGGGGGGGGGGGGGGGTGGGGGGTTGAGGGCTTGAGGGATAGCTAGGTAGATAAATTTAGTGTGTGTGTGTACCAATAGCTTCGTGTTTAAGTTTCGTGTCGCAATCACGGGTACAAAAATCAGTGGCATATGGGTTATCAGAAATTATGCAATGCGAAGTATGAGAGGAGGTGGATCACATTTAACAACACTGTATTAGCAAAGCATTAAACATTTGAATAGCATAAAAAAGAAGTTCATCTATGTCCAACGACGCCTATGTCATAGCCATGAGGGGAGGCATGTAGTGAGGCTGACTAATGGGGCAAATCAACCATTGCCCCGTCACACTTGCTAATGCCTATCTAAAAGCTGGACTCAAATCAAGTAAAGGGTGTGGCATAAGGGAGGGACTGGCAGAGTAGAGGCTGAGGATGGGAAATGGCAGAGGCCTAGGGGAACGGGATAACTGGTGTTGCCTGGGAGCCAAGCCGTTGAAAAGCTAGATGTAGGAAGCATCAAGAACCTGTATAGGAATTGTATGGACCTTCGCAGGTCAGGTGAGCACTTCTCTAGAGCAAGTGATGTTTGGGAAGAGCGGGAATGAGAGTGGCAAAACGGGAGAGGCAGGCACCCTTGGTTGTCTTATCATACCATACCATACCCTGATGGACCTCCTTTGGACTGCCCAAATTCCCTTCCCCTCTTCAGCGGTTGATAGCAGCCGAGCCTCCGGCCGGCCAAAAGGGTATCTTTGACGCTCTTGATACACTCCCATCTATGCTTCGTGCGTGTTTTGAAGACATAGTGGCTGCTGCGGCTGCTGCAGCTGCTGCTGCTGACGGTCCTCCTGCTTCCGTTGAACCTCCTGCCATTCCACCTACTCCCACTCCCACTCCACCACCACCACCACCACCACCACCACCACTAGCACCAGCAGCAGCACCAGCAGCAGCACCACCACCAGAAGCAGCACCACCAGCACCAGCAGCAGCGGCACCAGCAGCAGCAGCAGAGGAGAACACTGCACCGTTGGAACTAGCTCTCGGGCTAGAGGGATGGCGTGCCCTACTGCCCCCAAAAGCCTTGCTGCTGCCGCTACCACAGCCCTTCCCGCTGCTCCCACCCCGAGAGAACGCCACTGCAAAGACGCTATTCCGTCCTCCCTCCCAACCTCCTCCTCCACCTCGCCCTCCTCCTCCTCGGCCTCCTCCTCCGTTTATGTCGCCATGAGTCCCTGGTGCTGGTGCTGGTGCTGGTGCTGACGTGTCCACTGCAGCAGCCCCAATTCCGCCGTTGTTTTCCTTGTTCTGCCCATTGGCGCCAGGTGCTTGGAAAGCCGACGGTAAGGCACACGGGCCAGCAGGAGTAGCAGCGCCTCCAGTAGCAGAAGCACCAGCCACGCCAGCCGCAGCGCCAGAAGCAGCAGCAGTGGAGGAGACACCAGCAGCAGCAGCAGCAGCAGCAGCAGAAAGTGAACCGCTGGAGGAATGCAGGTGAGTAGAAGCATGGGCGGCGGAGGAGGCGGCATGGTGGTTACCACAAGCAGCATGGTTACTAGAGGCACCATGCCTCCGGTGTGAGCCTGTTGCGCGCCGAGCAATGAGAGAGAAGGGAGCCAGGGCCGCACCCACGTTGTGACTCAGCACCGACAAATGCCCGTGCCCGTGCACATGCCCATTGCCCTGCCCGTTTCCCTGCCCGTTCCCCTGCCCGTTACCCTGCCCGCTGCCCTGCCGGTGGTAAGATCCATTCCCCTCCCCACATCCTTGCCCGTGCGCGCGCCTAGGCGCAACTCCTTCCGCCTGTTTTGCCTGCGCGCCGTTTTTCTTCTGGGCCCCGTGCGCACTTCCCCCGTGCACTCGCTCCCCCTTCGACGCGGGCGCCCCGCCATGCGCGGACGAGAACAGCGCGCGCCGACAGCCTTCCGCCGCGGCAGCAGCTAAGGCGGCGGCCGCGACCGCCGCCGCCGCAGGGCGCGTGTGCGCGGAGCGGGAGAAAGGCCCCGCGGGGGACTGCGGGCGGGAGGGCATGGGGAGAGGCTCAGGTGGGGGGGAGAGAGTTCCGGGGAGGTTGAAACTGGTAGGGGTGGGGGTGCCAGCGGGAGTGAGCGCGGGGGATATGGGCGTGCGCGGAAGATGTTCCGCGGAGGGGCAATCCAGTAGCTCTGGCAGGACGACACTCAGGGGGACGAGCTTTGCCTTCCGCTGCTGCTGCTGCGGCTGCTGCGGAGGGAGATTCTGCGCGGGAATCGGATGGCCTTGCGCCTGCGACGACAATCGCGGGGACGGCGCGGGGGACTGCGGAGCCGACAACGGCGCCGGATGCTGCTTCCCCTGCTGCTGCGGGGACGACGGCGGCGGCTGCTGCTGCTGCTTCAGGTACGGGTTCAGCTGCTGCAGCGCCTGCTGCTCCTGCGCGCGCTGCTGCTGCCGTATCCGCTGCTGCTCGCGCCGCATCTCTTGCAGCGCCTGCTGCCGCTGCAGCTGCTCCAGCTGCTCCTCCTTCTCCCGCTCCTTCCATTCCTCCAGCGCATCCGAGAATTGCGTGAGGCTCCGTCGACTCGCCACGGGCCACGCTTCCTCTAGAGCGGCGGCGGCGGCGTCCGCCCCGCTCCCCAGACCGGCTGCGGCCGTTGCGCAGCCCGCAACGCCGCCGCCGCCGCCAGCGGAGCCGTTACCACCGCTGCCGCCGGCGGAGCCCGCGGCGCTGCCGTTAAGAGACGATGCGCGGCTGTTAAGCGCGCACGTCGGCGCGCCGCAGCATTGGGTCTTCAACCAAGGGTGCTCTAGAACGTTCCGCGCTTTGGGACGCTTACGTGGATCCACCGTCAGCATCTGACGGACGAGATCCTTCGCCATCGACGACACGTGTCGCCAGACCGCGGCGTCGAAGTTGATGTTTCCACGTAGGATCGACCGTTTCAGCCCCTCGTCGTCGCCGTGTGTTTTACCCGCGAACGGCAGGCGGCCGGTAAGTATTGTGCAGAGAACCACTCCGAGAGACCAGACGTCCGCGCGCTTTCCGTAACGCTTCCCCCGAACCATCTCCGGGGCCGTGTAGTATCGACTCCCCGTAAGTCCCGTCGCCGTTTCCCCCGACCCAAGCTCGATTGCAAGCCCGAAATCTGCGAGCTTAGTAGAAACTGGCCGCAGTTGCTGCTTGGCCAGATCCCCGCTGCGTCCGCTGCCGCCTTCCCCTCTGCTGCGGCCGCCGCTGCTGCGCGGGCGCCCGCCGGGGCTGCTGCTGCGCCCGCTGCCGCTGCTGATGCTGCTCCCGCTGCCGCGGCTGCTGTCGTTGCCCCGGTGGTTGGTTGTTATTCCGTCGCTGCTGCTGCCGCTGCTGGTGCTACACCCATCAGTGGTGGAATCCGGTGCTGGGGCTGGGGTGAGGAAAAGGACATTTTCGGGCTTTAAGTCGCGGTGCATGACGCCTTGCGCGTGGCAGTAAGCAACGGCCGTCGCGAGCTGACGGAAAACCGCGCACGCGTCTCGCTCTTCGAAGGGACCGCGACCTTTGATCTCGTCGAACAAATCTCCCCCTTCGCACAGCTCCATGACCAGATACACGCGCGACTCGTCCTCGAACACGTCCTGTAATTCCACAATGTTCGGATGCCCCGCCATTTGCTTCAGCAGCCGCACTTCACGGCGAACGTCTTCCACGTCAGCATCGTCTCGAAGTTGCTCCTTGTCGATAACTTTACACGCGTATCGGAACCCCGTGTGCCGGTTGCGACATTCGTGCACCGCGCCAAAAGAGCCTTTTCCCAGGCGCGTGCCTAGATCGTAGTCCTTGGTTATATCGCGGCCCGTGACGGGTAACCCGACGCACGAGGCGCCTCCTCCCACGCCGCTGCAGCCACCGCCGTAACCGGCGGGAGGTTGCAGAACCTCGACCGCCATCGCGACAACGGTGAGTTAGAGCTTTGAGCGAACAGTTTAGATGAGTAGATTACACGCACGGGATTACAGTAGCGGCTGTCGCAGCAGCAACGGGATTTAATCGGGAGTGTGCAGTGGATGCGCGGTTCTAGTGACCCCTGGTTCGAGGTGGAAGTTAGTATGATAGGCTGAAAGCGTTAGATCCAGCCGTCTAGTTAAGTCGTGGTCAGTTTTAGGCGACGTTTCTCCAGCAGCAAGCGGCTGCTTTGATATAATGAAATGTTTTTTGACAAATCTGAAAAGGATAAGTATCTCTATGTGTAGGTTGCAACAGCAATGTGTTATGGCATGCTCCTCGAGGGTGCTGGTAACTTGCAAGGTAGTTGCGGGGTTTAGGAGGCTGGAAGGAACATACAATGCACCGGACTGAGTCAAAATCTCCAGTCTGAGGTAGCCGAATGCTGCGGTGACTTGGATCCAACGCGTTAGCTCAGTCACAGAGCGCCGAACTGTCTTGCGGAATCCTTGAAACAGCCGAAGGCGCTGGCGGAATTAGTGGAGAAAGAAATTAGGGGTCGACAGGGGCCGTCGTGTGCCGTCGCAGTGTCGGGAGGAGTCGAGGGAGGTGGGACGACAGGGGAAACGACAGGATCAACCAGTCCTGCTGAATTTCTTCAACAAATAAAAAAATTTCAAGGACTGGGCAGAATTTCCTGACCGGCTAAAACATCGTCAATTCGGAAAAATCCATCACAAGTGCGGCACAGAGACAAATAATCGGATTCCATGTATTGTTCTTCTGGGCGATGGGAACTCGTAGGCAAATTCTGGGCTACCAAGAGACAAATTTTAGCGAGAATCCCTGGAACTTGCACACATGTGGCCAGTAACCTGGGCTCACAGCCAACCAGCACACGCTACCCTGGTTTGCCGCGTTGGGTGTCAAGAGCCGAATTCATGCCTCAGTTTCTGGGTGCCCAGCCCAACGTCATCCGCGGCAAATAGAGAGAATTTGAAATCGAGCCGAAGAAACGGTTTGAAACAACTACAGGGTGAAACATTCCCCCTGCCCTGCAGTCACAGGTTGACATTTCGCGTCTCGGAGTGGAAGTGCCATCCATGCGGCTCGAACGTCGGTAGGGTTGCGCGTCTCGGACTATCAGTAGGAAATATACAAAGCACTTTTGAGCAACAACGATGTGTCAACCAGTCATGTGTGTTCCCTCCAAAATAAACGTCCAGCTATGCATGAAGCCTCTGCCAACATACCCTCGGAGCCTCGCTCACCCACCACAGCAGCAGCAAAGTTGGCATGGCCTTGCCAACGGGCATGACAAAAATAATATTTGCGCTGTTAACATCTTCTTTATTTGCTCTTCAGTCCGGAAACTCGATACAGTGACTTTATTAATAGCACAACACAGGTAAGGTACATTTTTTTTGTTCGAAACTTCAATTCGTCTGCTTCGATAAATATTATATGTAAAGTATATTTGGTGACTGCTAGGGCAAATAATTCAATGATTGGAAATTATGATGAGCTTACTTAGATACGATGATGCACTCCTTAGCGGCACAACCAAGTATTGTACGGTACGCACTAGGATTTTGGAGTAGGAAGAGTTTCTCTTCACATGGATATCAAGGGATAGAATGTGGGTGTTGCGCTATGGAATTGTTGAATAACATTCCTCAAGTAACGAATCATTAACGCGAAGATGACTGCAGAGATAACAACCGAGCAACACAAACAGTTATCGAATACGGTTGAAAGAATAACGAATTCGAAGTGCAAGCGCGGGAAATGCATTCAAACAGTTACCGTGGCGCGTATTGCTACCGAACCGCACGGTTGGCATTCTTGATATAGGTTAGCCCTAAGGGGAATGTACCTCCTCATAGTACGCTAGCTAGGACCTTTCGTATTCCCTTGTAGTCCTACATAAACCCTTGTACCGCATTGCAATATTCACTTCTGTTACAATCCCAAGTGGGACTTAGCGAAGGATCGCTCAGGGTTGATCGCAGGGTAGTGTTGCAGCGGAAGAGTTGACCTCAGGTCAGAGTGAATGTAAATGACTGAGATTGATAATAGCATGCGTACATCGAGTTTGTATAGGAAATACAAAGGAACACGAAACGACCTAGACTAACCATGTACTCTAAGGGGTACATTCCCTTATTACAGCGAAGTTCAAACCGTGCGGCGCGGGAACTCGTTTCAAACCTGCTCCCACTCCTTTCACTTCAAATGTTTCTGCCTGCATCGGTCTTGGTCAGGCGGTTACCAACGTCGCTTCGACTCTTCTGACTCCTCGACTTCGTACTCGGTAGAGTCAGCTCCTGCAGCATACAGGAATGCCTTCTCATAAAGTTTCATATCATAAAACTTTGTCAGAATGTTATAATGCTTACATTTGTGTAGGCTATAGTGGGGTAGCCCATAAGGGATACAACCCAATTAGGGTTAGTACTTGTACCCAACTTCTGCTCAATGCATTCATTCTCGTTCGTTATTCTGACACGGTTTCAGAGCAGATCATTTGCTAGGACCGTTTTTTTGGGCCCACCACTACACTGCCCCACTAGCCGCCCCTAGCGACCGTCGTGTCGCGCCTGCTGCCCAGCGCGCCGCCCTCGTGCGGCTTGTCGCCCCTAGCCTCGGCCTATCGCCCCTAGGCCCGTCGCCCGTAGCCTGGCCCGTCGCCCCTAGGCCCGTCGCCCCTAGGCCCGGCCCGTAGCCCGTCGCCCCTGGCCCCGCGGCCCGTCGCCCGTCGCCCCTGGCCCCGCGGCCCGTCGCCCCTAACCTAGGCCGCGGCCCGTTGCCCCTAGGCCCATGGCCCGTCGCCCTTGGCCCCGTAGCCCGTCGCCCCTGGCCCCCCAGCCCGTCGCCCCTACCCCAGGCCCCGGCCCGTCGCTCCTGGCCCCGCGGCCCGTCGCCCCTGGCCCCGTAGCCCGTCGCCCCTGGCCCCGCGGCCCGTCGCCCCTAACCTAGGCCCCGGCCCGTCGCTCCTGGCCCCGCGGCCCGTCACTCCTAGGCCCCACGGCCCGTCGCCCGTAGCCCCTAGGCCCCGCGCCTCGTCGCCCCTAGGCCCCTGGCCCGTCGCCCCTCGCCCCGCGGCCCGTCGCCCCTAGCCCCCCCCCCCCCCCCCCCCCCTCGGCCGATCGCTCCTGGCCCCGCGGCCCGTCGCCCCTAGGCCCCCCCCGGCCCGTCGCTCCTGGCCCCTGACCCCGCGGCCCGTCGCCCCTAGCCCCCCCCCGGCTCGTCGCTCCTGGCCCCGCAGCCCGTCGCCCTTAGGCCTTTACGGCCTGTCGCCCCTAGGCCCCCGGCACGTCGCTCCTGGCCCCGCGGCCCGTCGCCCCTAGCCCCTAGCCTCGCGGCCCGTCGCCCCTAGGCTCCCGGCCCGTTGCCCCTAGGCCCCGTGGCCCGTTGCTCCTGGCCCCTCGGCCCGTTGCCCCTAGCCCCTGGCCCCGCGGCCCGTCGCCCCTAGGCCCCGACCCGTCGCCCCTAGGCCCCGGCCCGTCGCCCCTGGCCCCGACACGTCGCCCCGAGGCCGCCCCTAGGCCCTCGAGCCGCCCTTCCTGCAGCCTGCTTCCTGCCCCTTTTCCCTGCGCTGCCTAGCCTCTGCCCACCCTGCGTGCTGCGCCACTATGGCTTCTCTCCGCGTTCTAGCGTTCGATCACGAGGGTCGACCTATCCAGTTTGACACATGGCTCGACGACCTGCAGCTGTACCTACTGAGCGACTCTAGGGACAGTGTTTCGTTGTTTGACCACACGTCTGGCGCCGCTCCCGCCCCTCCCGTCACAGCTCACAGTGCGACTCGCTCAAAGTGGCTTACTCGTGACGATGCTGCTCGCTTTGCCATTCGCAACCACCTTCCGTTGGCCGAATGCGCTCACTTCGGACAGCACAGGACAGCACATGCACTGTACGACGCCGTAGTCGCCCGTTACTCCTCGCCTGCCACTGCTGCTCTAGGCCGTCTTCTCCTGCCCTACCTGTTTCCCGAGCTGTCCGCCTTTGCCACAGTAGAGGACCTGGTTTCCCACCTTCGCACTAGCGATGCTCGCTACCGCGGTGCCCTCCCAGCAGAGTTCCTTGACAGGAAACCGCCCCCGATGTACATCACTCTCTACTTTATAGTCACCCGCCTCCCTGACTCTCTTCGCGCTGTCAGGGACCACTTTCTCGCGCTCGACCCCACAGCCCTCACTGTTGACCTACTTGAGCAGCACTTCCTTGCAGCTGAGACTAGTGTAGTCGCTGTAGGTGCTGCTCGTGGCACTCCTCACACACCCTTCTTTGAGGGGTGTTCCCCCTCCCCCCTTTCCCCCTCCTACGCCTCTTCTGTTGCTGTTGACGTCCATGGTACTGAGGATGTCAGAGCTGCTTCCACTAGTGGGAAGCGCCGCAGCAGCAAGGGCAAGGGTGGCAGGGGTGGTGGAGGTGGCAGCGGGGGTGGTGGTGGGGGCAGCAGTGGAGATGGTGGGAGCGGTGGGAGTGGTGGCGGGAGTGGGGGCTTTGGTGGCGGTGGAGGTGGCAGCGGTGGGGTTGGAGGTAGTGGCGGCAGTGGGAGTGGTGGTGGCACGGCTGGAGCCGCTCAGCGAGGAGGCTCTGGTGGAGGCCAGAGGCAGCAGCAGCAGCGTCGGAGCGAGACCCCGTCGCCCTAGCAGCTTCGTGAGTGGTTGTTTCAGCGTGGGGTGTCTGGGGGTAGTGGTAGCTGCCCGTATGTCATTCGCATAGGTGACCGTGCTGGTCAGACATGTGGGAAGTTTCACACTCAGCACCGCTGCTTCTCCCACCTTGATGTCGCTTGGCGCGCAGATTTTGGTGACGAGGCTGAGCGCCCCCACTGGGCAGAGCTGCTTAGGACTGGAGTTGCTATCTTTGACCTAGAATTTGATGCTATCCTTGCTGCTATGTATGCTTTGTCTGCTAGTGCTGAGGGTGACTAATATCTGTGTGTGCTGCCTGACCCAGGTATAGAGGCTGCTGCTCTAGGTGCTAGTGAGTCTGT